GTGCAAGTGCTCTAGCATTCTATTAGTGTAATTCACTTTCTTCTAAAGAAATGCAAAGACCTTGGAAGATAAAAGTGAGGAAAAGAGTACCAGTATAAGAGCCATGTAGAAAATAACACTCAACACATACCCTTTTAAATTGAGAAGGATGTTGATAGGTAGCAGGTGGTCTAGGTTGTTTAAATTTCAATGTCTTATAACCAGACAGATGAGGAGGAAAATGTGAAGTATTAAGTATAACAGGAAAAGTAAGGAAGACGTTTCCAATGCGAGAACATGGGAGAGGCTTACCTTAAAGCACCCCTCTGCTGGCCAGACAGGAAGTGTGTGTAACAGCCCCAACACAAAGACCCACAGTGTGTATCTGGGCCAGCAGGAAGAGAAACGAGGGAGGAGAAATCCAAGTCTCAACACAGGCCTTCCCTGACACCCCTGCTCTATATCCAACTCTTTACTTTTCCCTGCAACTTTTCCCACTTTTCTTGCTTTGAATCTGCGCTCAGTGATCTCTTACACTCGTTTACTTCACTCGAATTCTCAACATTAACATTCTCTTGTCTGTTATATCGTTACTGCTAGACTTTTGACGGCTGTGTGGTATGTTATGGGAAAAACATGATGTGCGGTGTCTAACTACTGTGCAGCTTGACCGTGGCTTATTTCCATACTAAGCAGTCCCCCATACATTTTTTCCAGACTCCCTTGTAATTTATTTTCTTTCTGCAAAGTTTTATTGCTACTCACTTCTGCCGCAAATATGCCTTCTGTCACAGAGCTATGTGTTGGGTTGTTTTCTGACCATGTTCTATTCTATTGTAAATTTACATTCCTGACTCACATTTCTTTCTGTCCTTGTACTTTTTGATATGCATGTCCCTCTCTGGAAGCCTTTTTGTCCTCACAGCGAGCCCTTACCTCCTGGTGTAAGATATCGTAAGGCATTTTGATTTGAAGCACTTTATTTTTATACTGTGCACGTTGTGTGTTTAATCTAACAATCTGAGGGCAAATGAAGAAGGAATAAGCTACTCAAATCTCAATGATAATCACAGCCCCATATTCCACTTTTATTTTATTCCCTTTTCATCTCTTTGTCTCCCTTTCTCTCTGTTTGTGGCCTGCTTCTTTCCACAATCTTGAGAGTGAAGTCTGAGCTAGCAGAGACGCCTGGCCCAAGGCCTTGTTGCATTATTTGCATTTCACCATGCTCTTCATGTGCCAGGAAAAAGCCACCTGGTGGCGATAACCCCTTACTGCAGCCGCCCCTTCAGTGTGTTCGTCTCTGGTGTATGAATCTAGTGGGAGCCTTGTAGGTAGTGGTGAGAGTAATTGTACCTCCACTGCCCCCTCCCCTTCTTCCTCCCTTCTTCTCTCCTTCCCTTTCCGGCCTTTGTGCAGCTGCAGTTATTTGGGCCAAAGCAGGCAGCGCTATGCAGAGACACTCAGTGGCCCTTAGCATGCTTGTCCCCCGCCTTGGTTGACGCCTTTAAACTGAGTAGAGATGGAGGTTGACAGGGTAATAATGCTGGTGTCAACACCACTTACAGGACAGTTATATCAGTATCAGCTCAGCAGGAGGACGTTCACACTCTGTTAGGCTGGGTCGTGAACCGTGCTGGGGGCCCCCAGCTTTAGCCACACACACTTCACACACACAAATGCAGTATAATCGGCCCTCTGCTAATGAAGCAGCTTAAACATACATGAAAGAAAATCGCTCATAACTGTTTACGTTGAATGTAAATGTATGCGTGCTCAGGCTGAACACATAAATTCATCAGAGGTTGACAATTTCCAACATGTTTTTTTAATATATTCACTTTCCTATCATTACATATCAGATTTTCGTTTTCAGCAAACTATTTGCATTTCAAATTTAACCATCTAATTCAAGTACACGTCATATCAGAGTCTCGTCTGCTCTCCCTGAGGATGGATTTGTGTGTGTGTGTGCGTGTGCGTGTGTGTGTGTGTGTGTGTGTGTGTGTGTCTTCTTGCGTCGATTCAAGTGGGACTCTTGCTCCTTGAGTCCTAGCGGTCCTTCAAGACTCTGAGCTGCTGTCCAACAGCAAGTCAGCATGACTCCAGAGCACAGCATCCCATTAAGACTAGACTATCCATATTAATTATGAATCTGAGTTCTGTTGGGGTCCTCTGTGATCATAATGCATAGCAACGGCCACAGTAACCACAGGAAAGGCTAACAAAGTTGACTGTCTTTGAAACAGAATTACAACACATAGAAATAACATCGAGTCAGTTTCTGTTCTAGATTGGGTTTATGATGGATTACTGGGTTTGCCTAATTTTCTATCTTTGGATACGCTTAAGCTTTGGGGCTTTTTCCAAACATTTGTTACATAAATAACTGTACCTGCTACCAAACAGTTCTTGTATTATAACACATATGTTTCAGATCAATGGTTTCAAGTTTGCTTCTCAACAGTCGGAAAAAACTTGAAATACTGGCAATGTCAACACAATTTATTGTCTCACATTCTCTCAATGAATGATCAGCAACATAAAAAAAAAAATGTCAAAGATTGATCAACTAGCTCTTTGGGAATAAAGAGGAATAAAGTCAGGGTTTTAAACTTAAATTCCAAACTTAACTTCATGTTTCAAGACCGAAGGCACAAAGTTTTACACCAACTAATGAAACCAAGTTTTATTCAGACACGCACATGACAGCAGCTTCACGCATCCTTTACCTAAGTTCATAGTGCTCAGGGGAAGTCATTTCACAGCCCTCTGAGTAAGAATTTGGCTTAGGTTCCCTTTAAATGCCACAAGTGAATTAGTCCACCCTTGAAATTAAGGATATATCAATTTGCCTGAAGCCTTTGAATAAAAAACTGATGTTTTTGGTATTTCCTATGTTTACTACATAAAGGGATAAAGCTCTTTGCTTGTTATACGTTGGAATGAGAGATAAATCCCTTTCCCAGATTTGTGCCAATATGCAGGTTAATTTAATATAAACAAGCCCTTATATGTAAATACAACCTCTGAACCCAAAACTTAACAGTTAGCCAAGATATATATTGGAGCAGCTTGAGAATCTTTACTGTTTATATCTTAGTTTTAGAACATGCCTCAAGAAACTGTTAGGGACCCATTTTGGGGGCTACATGTAACTGGGGTCCCAACCCTGTGATGGAGAAACATTCAGAGGACTGTGAAGCTGTGTTACTCAGGTCCACAGTAATCTGCACTGATGGAGCCAAGAGGTGATGCTGGGGTGAGGATAAGAGGATGAATGGGGAGAAGGGGGGGAAACAACGGGAAGATGTGAATAAAGAATTAAGGGGGGGTATGCATGGGCATCCCGCCAGCCACATAACCCCCCCCCCCCAACCCCATCCACATACACACACTTCCACTCTGTCTGCACCCACACCCTCAGTCACCCACTCCATCGATACCCTGCGAGTTTATGCATAGTCTCCAGACCCATAACCCCCTCCCTTTCCCTTTCCCACTCTCAAATGCTCCCTCCACTATCCTCCGTGCCCCCAGCCTTGTAATCCCCCTCTCTCTCCTATCTCTGCGCCTTTCTCCCTCCTCCCCCTTGCTCTCCTCCTCCTCCTCTCCTCCATCCCTCCCTTTCTTTCCATCCCTCCCCTGGTCTCTCAGCATCCCTCTCTCCTGGGTCTTCTTGCCGTGGTGTGGTGCTGTTGGCAGAGCGTGGGCGCAGGCGGCACACAGACGGGAGCACAGATGGGCAGCAAGCTGCGCAGGGCGGCAAGGCACACCTGCTCCACACAAACACACACATACACACAAACACACACATACAGGGCCCTACTCTGCCACCTTGCCACACGGCCTGCCTGCCTGGCACAGTTATACAGGGACACAAATACAAATACACACAGGCACACATGCATACATACATACATATATGCATACATACTTACATACATTTATTTGTACATTCATACATACATACAAACGTGTTTACTGAATTAAACAGTGCATATAGGCTATGAAAACATTGTTTTATACTCTGCAAATACCCCATTTCACAATGCTTTTTTGTCTTAATTTTGCAAGGCTTTAAGATTTCAAGTTTCTTGCCTTAGTATTTTTTTGTCCGACAGATTAAAATTTGAAAGGTCACGTTCACACTAGTAGTTAACCACATGGGGATCTGCTTAACACTTTTAGGACAAAAGCATTACTGCAGACATAAAAACATACAGAAAACAGTAGACTTCAAATCCTCACGACACAGACCGAAATATTTAAAAATATAAATAAAAAAAATAAAAAAGGAAAAAATAATAAAAATAAGGTCCAATAAAAGAGCTGAGTGAACATCTGTGTGGGATAGCCAGGGGGATTAGGAGGGTTTGGAACATTTTAAGCGCATTAAGGATTAAAAAAAGGTCAGAATGTTTAGCAACATACCGATAAACCTCTTAAGCGAAACCCAATTGGGAGGCTGTACGGCGTTATCCTGTGTTTTGGGGAGGAGAAGAGAAGGGGGGGGGAGTGGAGTTGACATTTGTTCCAACAAGGAGGGGAATCTCTCTGAACCAACAGTCTGCGCACATACAAGTTACACACATACAAGGATACAAGGAAACACACTGGTTTGATGTGGCGACAGGGTGTGTTAGCTCTCTTGATGGTTTGAATGCCTATGTCAGGAGTGTGCATGTGTACTGACTTATAAATGACCAGCGCTGTTTAGACATCTGTCAAAAAGTGGTGCACCACTGTTTCAGGCCACTTGTTGCTTGGCTTTTGCATCCGTTTTATCCCAAGTTTATAATCATGAGGTCGAACATTTCCACACTATGAGTATAGTCTATTGCTGGAGAGTGCAGAGAGCCTTTAGAAGGTGTTTTAATCTGGCCTCTTTTTTCTGTCAGCTTCAGTTCCCTGATATCCTGCTCTCGACATGAGGAGTGACAGACTGGCAACTCTGTCTGACCCCTAACACCAGTTGGTCAGTGGCACAGGTCACTTAGCCAAAGCCTAATCCACGAAGGATGTCGGGTCAGTTTGTTGCTATGGGCCACGAGAGCTTGATATTACTTACACTGAAGATCAACCATGTGGCAGGTAAACACGAGGAGAAGAGTTGAAGAAGTGATGTTTAGAAGATCAAATGAGGTCATATCATTAAAAAAAAATGATGATGAGGAGAGTGCAGGACAGTTTGAGTTGATGCGGAGGAAAGCCGCAGAAACACAAGGTGAATGTTGGAGAGAGTTTAGCTTCACAGTAATTAATTCAAAGGCTAAATAATTTGAAATCATGAAAATTCTTGTGAGATTCTGAATCATCAACCAGTACTAAATGCGTTATCCTAGTCAGGCTGTCAGAATTTACATTAATGGGGATGGGCTGGTCCATATTTTAGGCTACTTTTAGAGATCGTTGCGGGTAACTGGTGGAGCAGGATCTTGGTGTACCCATACAGGACTTGATCATGTGCTTAAAAGTTCATTTGTTTGCTAAGATTATCGTCTTTGATACTCAGAACAAAGAGGAAAGGGGGTATGCCCAGCTCCAACTTGAGGACACCCCCACAAATCTTATTCTCACCCCTATAGCTAAGTGAAACTGGACCTGACTCTATTTAACAAACACTATTTTGGCTTTTCAATACAAAGGCAGATAATAGTTCAAACATTCGCTGCATGCTCACGCTGACCTCAGAAGTCCCTTCATCAACTGCAGGATGTTTTAGGCTATTTTCACACTGATGAAATTAAACAAAAGTATAAGGTAGAAAAGTGAGTGCACCACAAATGTTTGGCGAATGAGTTGTGTTTAATTTTTCTGACCGGCCAGAATAATATTTTCAAGCCAAGTTGAAGAAGACACCTTTGACCTCATCTACATAATTCCCCCAAACTGTAACATCAGGATTGACTCAATAACTAGGCATTGTGGAGACAGTCTTATCAATCAAGTGTGTAGTGCAAATGGGATTTGAAGTTCCCTAAACAAGGTAAGACAGGTGTAAGTGGCATCTGAGCAAATTCAAGCCTTAACAAGAAAAGCTTTTAGGTAAAAAGACTAAGAATAAGAGCAACTACCCAACATAGTTGATCAACATAAAATGAGCACCGTCTGGCCTGTGCCTGTTATCAGATCAAACTGTTTGCATTCTGTTTATTATCAGTGTGTAATAGTTTTTCAATTCACTGGTTTTAGAGGGCTGCAGGGTTGCCTGAAGGTTTGAGGTTAGAGATGGGGTTGCCGGCGGAGGAGGTAGTGGGGCAGCCACAGGGGCTGGAGGCGCTATGATTGGGGTAGCTGAGGGGAGGGCTTTGGGGGGCTGTGGTGGGAAGATAAGGGGCTGGATGTGTGGTTAGGAGGCATGGAGGGGGGTTGCAGAGGGGGTTACTGCTGCTGTTGTAGCTGCAGCTGGCAGAGCTGTGATAACCAGCAACCAGAGCTCCTCTGTCTAACCTCCCCTGTCCCCCATATCCTCCTCACTTCTCATCACAGCTATGTGATGCACTGTTGAACTCATCAAAGCACTGATTTGTTTCTGAGTTCAGATAGCTGTAGCAGAAAGATCAAGTATCTTCTTGAGTATACATGAGTGAAGTAAACTTGTTCTCTGTAGACAGCAGAGGGCTTTTTCACAGAAGTCTACACTCACACCGTGTCCGTACACCACGCGAGCAAGCTTCAGCAACAAAACCAGCTTGATTCAATTGTTTCCTATTTGAGTGCCCTGACAGCCCGCAAGCGATACAATGTGTAGCAGCGCAACTCGATGCTCCGTCTTTACCCCAACGCCCTGTTTCTATTTTCCTTTCTGCAACCCGCAAAGACATGGACGAGGAACAGGGAAGGAGAGGGGGCTCTGCAAGGATCTGTCAGTGTCTCTATATCCATATAAGACGTAACATTTAGTAGAATGAGTGTTGACATTAAGACTCCGCTCCAGCGTGACGCGACCCGATATCTAACCTCCACGTGCTGTTCGGACACAATGAGAGACATGAAATGATTCAAAATAGAAGTCAGGGTGTCCGCTATAAAACAACATCATGTAGCCGTTTGTATTACAAAAACTGAGAGCTGATAAGGTGATGTCGAGGATAACTACTGTACCAGTGTCCCTGCTCTGAAAATATCTTCCTCACCGACTCGTATCTACCATAATCCTCAGTTTTCATTCTAGGTTTTTGCACAGGACGCAAACAGAATATCATGTCAGGGTCATGAAAGGTCAACGATAACAACTTTCAGGGCAATGTTTCCAAGGGCAGGTTTTTGATCTTCTTTAAAAATGGAATGGAAAAACTGTTGTTCTCTCTTTCTTATTACGGTATTAAATACAAAGTAGGGGATCATATGGTGTTGTGATTAAAGTTCACAAAGCAGAGACAGCGGTGTCAGTAACACGGCTCCATGTAGTCAGCGGAAGGCTTGAATGTTCATGGGAGTGAAGTATACCTCGTGGCTTATGCATTTGATATCTCTCGAGCACACTGTATATACAGTTAGGTGGCTGTGTATCAACCAGTGTGTGCATGGTGTGAGAAACAGAGTGTTTACAATATTGTAGAGCCGTGTGGTGAAATACTACACGACGCTGAAAAGTCCAGTGAAGTCAGGTTGTTTTTCAACAGCTTTCATTGGCCATCATATATGTTTACTCTGAGTGTGTACCTCAGTGTTTGTCCACGTATGAGTTGTGTGTGTTTGCAAGCGTCTGGGTGCGTGCGTGGCGGGGGCGCAGTCTCGTATGTTTGGAGTGAGTGCCGTCAGTTAGCTGGAATGCGGCGCTACCGCCAAAGCTAAGATGGCTGCCAAGCTCTAAGATGGCTGCCAGAATTACACCCAGCCAGTGAGAGACAGAAAGGAGCGAGAGATTGTGCACGAGAAGAGACGGGGGGGGGGGGGGGGAAAGGAGCTCTCTTTGGTTTCTGTGCTCTTTCTGTCTTTCATTCTGCTGCTCCGTTCTGTCTCGCCTCTCTCTGTGGATAAGCAGTGCTTCGTAGGCAGCTAGACAGGTCTGTTATTGTTTCTGCTCAGTAATCTGTGGCTTAGTGTGGCTGCAAGGCAAGTGCTGCTGGCAGGAGTTTGTGTGCTCTGTTATCACCTACAGCCTGCAGATAAACACCTCCTCTGGCTAGTTAGTTAGCGAGATAGCTACTGTCTAGCAAGGCCTGATCGGATGGCCGATAGCATTAGCCACACGCACCACACCAGTCCTGGGAATTGAGCCTAGCCTTCTTCCCTAACTCGGACACGTGGTCACAGAGACCAAGTGAAAACTCACAGATGCTCAGTCTGTGTTATATATCCATGGACATATTTGCATACACACACTTGGCATCTTTTTTTTTTCACAGCCCAGACAAGTATGCACCGCCTTAAGGCTAACTTTTCCAAGCACTCATGTTACAAAAACCTCATCTTGCACTCCTCTTTCACCCTTCTGCTCCTTCAGGTCTAATTGTTGCCCGTTGTTGCCAAGACTTGGCATGTTTGTGTATGCACATGTGAGTGAAGCCCCCATGCTTTACTAGACCAATCATATCAGGTGTGTTCGTGCAGGTGTGTGTGTGTGTGTGTGTGTGTGTGTGTGTGTGTTGTGTCTGTTAATTGTGTTTCAATGCTGTCATCTGATTCCCAAGAGGAAGAGTTTTGTCTCGGGTTTACCAACCGCTGCCTCAAACCCCTCGGGTCGGTCAGTGAGATGTGCATGGTCAGCCTTTTTTTTTATAGGATCTGTATATGTTTGTTGATGTATTCGTGTGTGTGTGTGTGTGTGTGTGTGTGTGTGTCTGTGCCAGGATTAAAGTATGATACAAAAATTAAAGAAAGAAACAGATTGAGAGAGTGTGAGCATGATAGTGTGGGTGTCGTTCGTGTGTGTGTGTGTGTGTGTGTGTGTGTGTGTGTGTGTGTGTGTGTGTGTGTGTGTGTGTGTGTGTGTGTGTGTGTGTGTGTGTGTGTGTGTGTGTGTGTGTGTGTGTGTGTGTGTGTGTGCGCGCGTAAGGTGCTCTGTTTACGCAGACTAAATCCCTACCAGCAAGAAGGTATTAAATAGGATTAGGGCGAGGGATATGATTGCGTGGTTAGATACTAAATGGCATAGCAGAACCCTGTAAATCATTGCACCTTAAGTCAGGAGGGACAGCGGGAGATGAGAGAGAACACTCTTAGATACAAGCTTATCACAGAGAAATGTGTGAAATAACACACATTCATGCCCATATACTTACAAGATGTATACCATATCCCAGCACATACTGCAGGTCCCTTTTATTCCCTCTCACACCTCTAATATCACGCACAGTCTTGGCAGCATGGATACACAGCTATGATTCATCAAGGCATTGTACACTTCCCAGTATGTTTTTGATTTCTTTTTTTTAGCAAACAAACCAGATCCTAAGCATTTGTCTTTTCCTGTCTGTTTCTGTGCAGAATCTGGACAATCAGATAGTTCGAGCCAACAGGGGGACACAGACATCAAACCACCGCCCAATGGTAGGTTACCCCCACACACACACACACACACACACACTCTCTCTCGCCATATCACACATGTCCATGTCCAAACACTGTCAAATTAGCATACCAGAATTGATTCCATCATGCTTATCAGTCTTAACATTTTCCAATTATGGATCCAATTAGCAAACACACTCACACAGATGTTGATCCACAAACATAGTTGCAGATGGTCGCTCTCTCACAGGGATGGATTTTTAATTATTTATTTTTTTCCCTGACAAAATTCCATGAATTTCTGATGCAGTTTTTTTTTTTAAACATTTTCTTTTCCATACATTTCCATATTGAGGTCTGACCACATTCTTTTCTGTACAGGGCACCTGAGTTTCCAGGACTGCTTTGTCACCTCAGGGGTGTGGAACGTGGCAGAGCTGGTCAGAGTGTCACAGAGTAAGTAGGAGAAACGCCACGGAGGAAGGAATAAATGCACCCAACTATGACTTCTTGTCCTGACAGGGACTAACAACTGCTACAATATAGGAACATTTAAGTAACAATTTCATTCACAGTGTCGTCCAGTGTATACATTTTGAGTAAATATACTTTAACTTTGACTCTTAGTAAATCTCTGGTTTCATATTTGTGTCATTGAAATAGCTTCTGCATATTTCAGAAAAACACATATAATTTACAGTTGTGCATATTTCTCTTCATCATGCCTTTTTTCCTCCCTCTCTAACTTATATTTCTCTGTCAGCTCCCGTTGCCACGGCATCAGGTCCCAACTTCTCACTGGCTGACCTGGACAGCAGTCCCAGCTACTACAACATCAACCAGGTGGCTCTGGGACGACGCTCCCTGACCTCCCCTCCCTCCACCAGGTACACAGTTTAAATGATGATTCAACAGAGGGCGCAGTAGTGTAAAGGTGTAGAGAAATAATGTACAATGCCCTGGAAACACCTGTGACCACAAAGTCCAGCTGTCTGCCATTAGCAGAGTCTCTAGTGGGTGAAGTCACCATGTGGCAGTAGAAGTGCTAGGTATGTGAGTCGATGGGAAGCTTGGGGAAATATTAAACCACAGCAATATCTACCAACCAGTTCTCTGTTTTTATCAGTAGAGTGTCTTTACTGGCATGTAAACGATGCCATCTTGTTGAGGTTTCTTTATTGAAAGCATTAAGTACGACAGTCCATTAGCAGTCTTGGAATCTGTCCTGAACCTCCTCATGTATGTGTGTGTCTCTCTGTTATGTGCTCTCCTCTTTTTGAATGTGTGATGGCTCTTTTTTTTTTTTTTTTTTTGCCTTTTTCCTCTTTGGCGTCTCTAAACTTTCTCTCACTTCTTACCTCTGTCATCTGCTGTCACTTTAGGTCTGAGGTGGAGTTGTACGCAAACCTTCCACGGAGGTAGTTATAACAACTTTCAAAGACTAATGAGACACATGCACTGAAAAAAAACACACATATATGTACACATAATGTTATACACACACACATAAAGAGAGAGTCTTACTGTGTGGCTGTCTAAGCTTCCTAACTTTTCTTTCCATGTCTTCCTGTTTCATTCCTAGCTTTGATATCTCTTGTCTGTTCCGCTCCAAGACTTTATCTCCATTAATGTGAATAACTTTCTTTTTGAACACTGTGAATGCTAGAGTGTTAATGATCTGGAGTGCTTTTTCATGTGATGATTTGGATGTTATCAGTTGTGTGTAGTTGTGAAAGGTATTTTGTCTTTGTTCCATACGTTCATTGTTTTTTGTTTTTTTTTAATCACGCCTTGTCTCTCTTAATGTTTCCCCCCCACATCACATCTATCCTCCAAACATCCCGCCCCTCGACCTCAGCTCCAACAAGAGGAAGTCATTAGACGACAGTGAGCTGGAGAGCCCAACGGATGATGTTTTCTACCCTGGACGCTCGCCTGCCGCCAGCTCATCCCAGTCCAGTGCGTGGCCCAACGACATGGATGCAGGTACCCCACCTCCCCACCCCATACCTGGCACCCACTAAGCCAGCATTTCCTCACTCCTGCCTGACCTCCACCTCACCCCCACCCCCACCAGAGTCCAAACTCCTCCTACCTCCTTTTGACTTTGTCTCTTCTCCACATGCCCTACCTCAATCGTCTGCCCTCACTTTGATGATGTAGACATCCCTGAGCACCCCTTAACAAACCTCCCACTCATCCAACACCAGCTTATTTAAATCGCTGTACTTCAGTCTGATTGATCGAGATCTGCAAGTCACAATGTCAAGCAGTAAAGCAAAAGCACTTCAGTTTAAATATGTAAAACTCTGACACATACTTACTTTTCTAAGATATTTTTTATGACAGGGGTATCCAGATTTCTGCCAAAACAGAGGAAACGTGTAAAGAACAAATACGTTTGCAAAAGTACCAACAAGCATCCCCTTCTCCAAGTGCTGAGATTATTTTACACTGATTGGAAAATGTATTGGTCACTTAATGGCTTTAAAAGCACAAACATGTTTTGAATGACTGTCTGTGCTATTTGACCAGTCTTTTTCTTTTTTTTACACCATCACTTCAACCGTTGCAAATCGAATACATCATGGCTAAATTAGCTCTAAGTGCTATCTATCAAATTTCTTCAGACGTGAGGAATAGAAATGCCAAGATGCAACCGGGATGAAATAACAGCTTTTGGCAGCCTGTAGTAAGGCTTTATGTTGGTGTTTCCATTGTTTTGGCTGTAACCACCACCTCTTAGAATTAGCTCTGAACATAACTCTCTTTATTCTACCCGCACAAGGATTTTACCTCATCCCTCAAACGTGCGAAAAACTTCAAGAAAGAAAAACATCCCTCTTGTTCACCTCCCCTTTATTCCTCACTCTCAAATCGTGAAGGCTTTTTTATTTACTCATCCTCCACTTAAGGTCGTCGTCACAGAAACAGTTGACCTGATGTTGTTTTAATTATCAGTCGCTCACTACCTCCATCAAACACAACTCTCCCCCTCTCCCATTTTTAATCTCTCTCTCTCTCTCTCTCTCTCTCTCGCTCTCTCTCTCTCTCTATCTGTCCTTCTTGTTTCGCTCTATCTCTCTCTCTCAGTCTCTGTCCGTCTCATTGTTAACAATACCCTTCTCCACTTTCAGTGCAGCACCATTTGGCCAGTGTGCAGGAGAGGAAGATAAAACATGAAAACGATGGCGTGCAGTTTCCTTACCATGGTTAGAACACTGATTACACTCATATATGTTTGCTATTTATCAGCCTTTATGTAGCTTAATCATTCCTCTGTGTTCCTATGTGAGTGTATACAATTTATATCATGTGTGTGTGTTTGTATATATTTGAGTTATATGGAGTTGTACTAAGGAAAAAGGTTAATAGTACCAAGAAATCACTTTTTACTGCCTTATATCTGAAGTTCAGTATGTTTAGTTGTTTTCTGGTTGATTTTGTTGCTGTTAAAAATTCGATTACTGACATTTCTTTTTCTGTCACATATGGTAGCAGGATTGTCAAAGATTATCAGGTGCAGGCTTTACTTTCTGTGTGAAACATCGGGCTACAAGTGGCTCACCTTAGATCCCTTCCTTTATCTGTCTGAAGTCATGTCAATCCTCCCAGCAACACTTTAATGACAGATGTCACCAGGCTAACAAAAACAACACCAGCAGGCATAAACTCATGCTGTGCCCATTCTGCCTCACATGCACGGTGACAAATATTAAAACAGACCCCTCCTCATGCACACACACACACACACACACGCACATGCACATGCACATACATATACTGTATACACAGATGCCTCCTGACACACATGCTGACTTATACACTTACAACCCCCCACATGGGCAGACGTTCACACATTGAAACACATGCTTATCAGGCTCCCCACCCCTGCAGGTGTTCAGGTGCCTGCCTTGCCTCCATCCCTCTGTCGCTCCATCCCTCCCTCGATTCAAATCCCTCATTAAGACGCTTACCGTCTGTGGATCAGAGGTGTAAAACCCTTCCTCCTGCTCCCTAGTTCTCCAGTCAACCCTCCATCCCTGTCTCCCTTCTGTCTAATTGAAAACGTGTACAGCAGGAGGCACTCTGGGGAGGGAGAAATCATGTCAGAGGAGGAGGAGAGAGAAGCAGAAAGTAGGCAAGTGGATGGGAAAAGTGGGAGGTGAAAGAGAGAGAAAAGAGGAGAAAAGAAGACTTCAGCGTTTTCACATCTTGATAAGTAATGAGAGAGAGGGGTTATCAGGATGCAGACTAGAGGAGCCAAAAGCTCTGGTTAGGTTTTGCCCCAGTCTACTCTCACCCGAGCCTCAGCGGCTGCTCTCCTGCTCCTGCTCCACTTAGCTGTAAATGTAATTAAGAGGCTGTTCATCAGAGCCGCAGCAGAGGCTCCTGCACGCCTTAGCGCACCAGATCCTCACCTCCCATCTTTTTCCCCTGTCTCTCACTCACTTTTACTCTGTGTATGTGCACAACCCCTTTACTCTCCAAAGTGCACCTCACATAGCCTTGTACACCTCCTAATGAGTTTGGCAAAGAGAGAGGTGTAGAATGGCATACAAATCTGGACCCTTTACCCAATTAATTAATCCAAGTGAAAAATTAGGAAGCAGGCAGCTTTTATATTTATTCATTTTTTATTCATGTGTTTGTGAGCCTGCATGTAGTGCAGGTTTAGGAATAGTTTCCTAACAGGAGCAAGTACATGTCATTGTTCAAACTCAGAAGAAACCGAGGCAAGGTGGAGAGATTGAGGTAGAGGAGAGCACGGATAATATAGACAATGTGAGATTTTGGTACGGTGTGTATCCAAATTTTCGAAAGGATCCCACCTGCCACAGGCAGAGCTCATCTGGGAATTCCTGTCCAGGTGGGGGGTATGTAAACAAGCAAGCACACACATACACACACACAAACACAAACAAACCAAGCAGCTTCTAAAAAAAAAATAGAACACACACACACACACACACACACACACACACACACACACACACACACACACACACACACACACACACATACACATACACATACACAGGTGCACCTTACCGTCTGTCCACAGCACCATCTACTCCCCTGACTCACTCTATAACCAACAGAACACACACATCCACCAACATACACACAGATGTATGAAGATACATTCATACATAGAAATCACACAAAATACAGTAACATTTGGAAATACACATTATAGAAATGTGAATACACATCACACAGCCCACTCAGGCACACACACACACACACACACACACGCACAGCTGAAGCATGGACCCAGATGGTGTTTCCTTGTGTGCGTAGCCTTGGGATCCGTGAGGATGCTGGAGACATCTGCTCCACAGGGGCTGGAGGAGGGGTGGGGGAGGTTAGCGGAGGCAAACGAAACAACCGTGATTTCGTATTAGTTCCAAATGATTGTGAAAATTTCCCAAGACACCAGAGACTTGTGGTGGTGGTGGTGGTGGGGGGGGGGGGGCTTTTCTTGGTGCTTTGAGTTAAATGTTAACAGCCTGTAGATGGATACAGCTGGACTTAACATACATGCTTTAAATCACTGGAGAAAGCAGAATCTTATGACTTTCCTTCCACTTGTTTCAACCATATCTCCTGTCTTTACCAACTGTGTGTGTGTGTGTGTGTGTCTGTGTGTGTGTGTGTGTGTGTGTGTGTGTGTGTGTGTGTGTGTCTAAGTTTGTGTGTCTGCATCTATGTGTGCTTCAGAGGCGCATCTGGTGGCAGGCCTGTTAGTGCACAGAGACAGAAGGGTCATCATGGGAGCGCTTGATTGGTTGCCAGTATAACGCTAATGCTTGCCAGGAAAGGAAACAGTGCAGTTGTGGCACACAAACACAAACTGGATCAGACTATTGCATAGTCTATGAAGTAATAAAATATTGTATTTCACATTCCCTCGGTGATAGAGACAGTGCTTTAACTTCTTAAACATACAGGAGTCAACCTTCATTTGATACTTTCGGGGCTCCTGACTCTGATCTCTTTACTTCAGATTAGATTTATAACCTTTTTAAAAAAAAACATTTCTGATACTGTAACTATTTAATCTATACAGTTCTGGTTTTTACACTCAAAGCTCTTCCCTTCATTGCTTTTTTCTTGTTCAAGTCCCTGCAGACTGCTCTTATTTCCAGTTTGCTCCCACCAGTGTGACGGTGTCATAGCAATCACTGCTAACTATTGGTGTCAGAAGTGGGATTGGGGTTGTCTTCATGCTTGGAATCTGTCTGACAGTACAATACGCCCCCAGACTCCCGCTACAGTGAGGGAGAAAAAAATGAAATATATGTCTGCTAAAGACATAAATGGTTCACACATATTCACTCCCACCTGCTTGAGACTTAACTCTTCACACAGGGAGGGAAGGTTTTACACGCCTCCACACTCCCATAGACTTTCACACGTCTCCAGCTGGAGAACTGAGGAGGAATCGTATTTAATGCCGTGTTTGACGTGGAGGGGCCCACAGAAATAGACTACAAAACAACAGTCTAAAAAAAAGTTTAGAAAGAGAACATTATCACATCACTCACTTGTTAGCGAGATTAGACGAAAACTTAATGGGGGACGAAACGTGTCTATTGTTTCAGCAGTTAAATGCGGTGTTGTTTTTTTGAGGTTGGTCATGTGCTTGTGCTTTCGCTTGTGTTCAGTCGCTGAGCGTGTGAGTGTGTGTGAGCGAGAGATAATAACCATATTTAACATCTTATGACATTCCAATTTCATACATGTCGTCAGAGCAACGCATTGAAAAACAAGACACTGCTGCATTTTTCACAGGTTCTGCTTTGCTCTCTCGCTCCCTTGCTCCCTCGCATATTTTCATGTCTCCCACGTTCTTCTCGCCTCTCTCTCTCTCTCTCTCTCTCCCTCTGTCTCCTCTCTCTGTCCGTCTGCTTGTCTTTCGCACTCAGCAGCTGCCGTGTCCATACTGTACAGTGTGTGCTATTTCTGAATGAAGCCTTCTTCTCGTGCAGCCAGCCTGTGAGCTTCGCTGAAGCCAGACCACAACTAGCTGACTGTGGCTGTGTGGCGGCCATGCTCATACAGAGAGAAAGACCAGAGTTGGCACCTGAAAGAGAGAGAGAAAGAGATGAGAAAGAAAAACATACAGTGGCACAGTAGAGGTTATTATAGCTTCACATGTGCTTTGGCTCAAAAAACAAAGACCAGATTCAGATTGGCCTCAGCTATTTTTCCTATTTTTCCCCTTTTTCCTTTGAAGACTTACACTTAGGCTTTGAAATATTACTCAGCCCACGCTATATGAATATGAAGCTGGGAGTTGGGAAACCTCAGTACTTCTCTGAGTGACTTATTTCAGCATAAAGTCCTCTGACTGACTCATTGAAACTAATCGGAGTGAATGGACAACAGCCAAAAAGAAGGAAGCAATGCACTGCCATCATCCAATGAGGAAATTAAGCAATCTAATCAGAAAATCATGATTGCTTGAGTCCCCTTCAATAAAAATTGAAATTTTTTTTTTTAGTGTAGCTAATTAAATAAGCAACATTTTGTTGATTAAAACAACCTCTCTCTTTTCCTCCCTCTCCCCCCCCCACTTTTTTTGTTGATCCCATTTTTTGTTTTCGCCAGGACTGTCCTCGCCTGGTTCACTTAAGAAGCCGGGGAAGTTTGATTTCAACGCCCTGACTTCCCAGACGAGGTCCCCCCGCATGGCGTTCACACACCACCCGCTGCCTGTGCTGGCAGGAGTGAGACCAGGTGAGAGCCCTGCCATGAACCCAACAACCCCCTGATCCCATTTTGTAATCTGAAACAGAGAGAGAAGGAAAGGTAGTGTCAAACTTGATCCTAGAATGCCATATATACATCCCCGAAGTGCTCTGGAAACAAAAGTAGGTAAATTCTACAATCGTGTGCTTTAAAAATGATGAAAATCCCAAATACACCTGCAGAGAAAGCAAGATAAATCTGTCAAAAAGCTGCAGTTGCACCAGCTGAGAAGCAATATGCCGGCAGAGTTTCACTGTTCAGTTTTAATGCTATCATCATGGCTTGGCATAAATTTCTCTCTCTCTCTTTCAGCCTCTCTCCATCCATCCATTTTTACCACCATCTTTGTGCCTGTGTTTTAATATTGTCATTGCATGGTACAACTGCTGCATCAATTTCTTTGTAACTGATTTCCCTCATTACTTACTGATTCATGCATCCGTTGTATAGTTTAAAAAAGTCAGCTCTGGTATTTCAACTGACTTTACAGGGTGTGTTAAGTATTTGAAGTTTTACTCATGCTGTCAGAGTTGAAAAACCGAATAGTTTTATGCACAGTGCAAAGAAAACATCTGGAAATATCGACAGTACTGCTTGGTCACTAAGACGACCTTTTTACCAAGGTGAACATCTTCAAAACAATATGTGTTCAGAAGCATTTTGTTCTTCAAAACATGTAGCTTGTTAAGAATTTATTGCGAGAACCAAAAAAGAAAATTTGTAAAATTAGCAGGAATAAGGAACAGGAATTGACACAGTACATTCAAATACATGCAGTTGCACAGATGTAGACTTAAGTGTATACAAGTCTCAAAGTAACAAAAGTAGCATCCAGTGTTTCCAAGGTCCCATTTCATTAGAGGCACTAAGGGTAAGTTGTCCTCAGAAGAGCAGTTTAGTCGTATAGGATAACTGTCATGGTTTCTTCTTTTCAAGGCAGAAAAATTCCCAGAGTCTCCAGCATTTCAAGTTTGCCAATGTCTCCCTGTCGGCTTGTCTCACTTTTCAAAGGAGTAGATATGTCCTCCTCTCCCTATCTCTCCCTCTCATTCCGTTTGTCTCTCAAAGGGACGCTTTGGCCCACAGCCAGCGCAGACCCACCACATAAAGGTCATATGGACTCATTGCCCCCATGTTGAAATGTATTGAACTTAACTCGTGGAGCTCCCCCTAGTATATTTAGAAGATAAAGTTCAGGCCGGATCTCACACCATTAAGCCATGTTGTTTATCAGCACAGAGCAGTCCTATACCCTCCAAAGAATCCAAAGCACCAGATTGAATTTTACATTTGAATTGATTTCCAAAATTTTCTCCTCAGTTTTATGTGTGAGAGTTGAAGAGGTGTGAGAGACTGGCTCAGGTTTCTTTGTTCCCCCAGTCTAACTTCTCACACTTTTCCAACTGTGTGTGGACTTTTGGCTAAGACGTTCACATGTAACAGAGAGGCCGTAATGAGACAGTGTTTGGAGATTGTGTACGGGTGCGTTTGTGCACATGTACACACTCACAAACACATGCACGCATGTGTAAATTTACACTCTTGTGGAGGACTCTCTGTGCTAAAATGGCTGCCATCCAAATGGAATGTCCCTCGGAGGCCTTGGTTCTATAAAGAGACCGGAGGATGACGGGAGGGAGGGAAGGCGAGAGGGATAAAAAGAGAAATGGGGGTAGACAGAGAGGGGGAAAAGCAGTTAGCAATCATGGTTAGAGCTGTTAGCTCTGGTTGTATAGGTCTAGTGAGTGTGGGTGTTCAGGGGTAAGGACTGCATGGTTTATGTCCTGTTTTTGGCTCGGACTGATGTGGAGAGCTGCCAGATTGACTGTTGTCTGATTATGCCAGTCTGGAGAGTCCGCCATTGTAACAGTGATTATACACACATACATACAAAGACACATGAAAGCTGCAACAGACATAGCAGCACATTCATAAAGACAGGCTATAAAAATAAATACAAACCAAGATACAGACAGATATGCATAAAATGTACACCAAAATGCAAACACACACAATGGCAATCAACCAATCGGTCGATCTGTATTGATAAAGAACCTTTCAGAGCAGTTCAATTACAGCTCAGAGTGTTGTACAAGGAAGTAGAAAAGGGACTGACAAAAGTTAGAACATTCAAAAATGATTTAGAGACGAATGCACACCAGTGTGAATTCAGTAAAATAACACTAACACACCAAAACACAGAAAGTTTTAGCCAATAGGCACTTAGACACTTTGTGGGTACAGCATACACAAGAGATAGTAGGTGACAGACATAATCACAGATGCTTGTTCGCCAGGCTCCCCTCACCTAGCAGCTTGCCTCTTTTATTTGGTGTGCCAAATTGCCAAAGCCATAGAATCTCAGCATAAGACAGACAGTGGAGCTGTGTGTGTGTGCGTGTGTGTGTGTGTGTGTGTGTGGTTGGCTAGCTGGCTGGCTGGCTGACTAATGTCTCCGGGAGGCGTTTTGCGGTCGGGTGGGAGCGGAGGGGAGATTCTCTCTCAAGCTTCAAACTCCTGGGCAGAACCACACAGCAAGGATATGCAGCTGATTGATGACACATCACCGACAAGCAATAAAACAGAAGTGGAACGACCCAGTGTGTGTGTGTGTGTGTGTGTGCGTGTGTGTGTGGCTGTGTCTTACCCCAGTGGTTTGTGTTTGTGAGTGTGTGTTAGAGAGAGAAATTGAGAAGGAGCAGAAGGCAAAACAAAAATACTGTACTGTAACACACTCTAGCTAGCCTGTATGGAACTGTGAAAAGTGTGTGTGTTTGTGCATGTGTGGTGCTGCCAGGCTTACCAGAGGTTCAGAGAAGTCTAGTGGGCTGTTTATAAAATGAATGGTGCCAGATGTTTCCCAATAGCTAGGGATATAGCAAGTCATTTGTAAGCAGAAACAGCTTCAGTCAGTCAACCACAAGCAAATGTTGCAGCTATTGTCTGTGTTAGGACAATAACAGGCCTAAGCAGCAACCTGCTCTCTGATGCCAATTGTTTAGATTAATCATTTGCATGTGTTACACAGTACACTGTCATAGGTGTGCATGTTTATTTTTAATTTGTCATGTATGTTTAAATCCTGAACTATGACCTGAGCCTCATTTTGTTTTTACCCCTATTTCGTTCTCTCTTCTATCTTCTCCTCTTTCCGTTTTTTTTCTCCTCAGGGAGTCCCCGTGCCTCAGCGTCAGCCCTGCACTTCCCTTCCTCCTCTATCATCCAACAGTCCAGCCCGTACTTCACCCACCCCACCATACGCTACCACCACCACCAGGACCCGCTCAAGGAGTTTGTGCAGTTTGTGTGCACCGATGGCACAGGACAGCCCAGCGCACAGGTAAGTGCTTCGTAAGGTGACGGGGTGGGACGGTCTGAAGTGCGAAATGACGTAATAGAAGAGAGGATGTTCTGAAGAGGTCAATCTGTTTTTGTAGAAAGTGCAAAATGTAAGAAAGCAAGACGACACAAAAAAAAAAGTCGTCTTCACCTACAGAATGACTCCTCCATCACTTCACGTCTTATTTGTTTCAAACACAGATGCAAAGAAGTCTAGAGACTAGATTAGAGCAGTTTTATAATGTGATGCAATTTCTCCAGGAAAAAGGAACATGGTGTTCACAGGAGGAGGCAGCCAGATGTGCTAAAAAAACACACACAGTAGGAGATCAATTAGGAAAGAAGGAGCCAAGCCACATTAGTCTTCCATTGCAGGATTTTTTATCTGGTAATTAAAAACACTGAAATTAATACTGATGCTTCTGTATAACCTGCAGAAGCAAACCAGACCATCACTAACTTAGTTTTTTTAAATGCTTGTAAACACCGCCAACCGATGTCCACGGCAAACACTTGCAGCGACATATACTGTATGTCCAGGAACATATTTATCTTTGTCAAAGCTACTTTTACATGTAAAGGACAAGATCAGTTAACTGATAATAAGACGTTCTGTTTTGTTGTCAGGGGGGGGCGCAAAAATCGTCACAACCCAAAAAAGTTCCTCACAGGGGCTTTAAAGTAAAACACTGTAACACATTTCCAAGTGCCAGCGGGTCACTTAGAATAGTAACATAAAAAAAGACATCATGTCTCAGACGAAGCTGCTGTCACTAGTTAACCGCTTTGGATGAGGAGGAAACTGCAGAAGTCGACTGGGGCAACCTTTTTTTTGTCCCGAGGTATCGTGGGGCCTCATTTTACTTCGGTGAAGGGAGCTGCTCCCATGATAACCCCGACAACTCGCTCTACCTGAAAGCTTACAACACTAAAGTGTGGGCACAATATGAAGCAGTATACAGTGTACTTAGGGATATTTCAGAATGATTTTTAACAAACATCCCCCGTGATGCAGGGTGTGGGTAGCACTGTAAACCTCTACTGGAAACTTGGCCTTGTGAGCACCTTTGAAACCTCGTTATTTAGTCCCTTTTCATGTCCTTTTAACCTTTTTTTTTTCTCATTTCTTAACACAGAAGACAGCTTAATTTGTGAAAATATTCAATCGCTTTGCACATACACTGGCACACACAGACACCCTTTTCTCATGTCTGATGTTTTCCTCCTTTTCCTTCATCACACTGAAAATATTTCTTATGGACAACCCCATGTGTCTTCCTCCCTAGTGTGTTGGCAATTTTCATCACTTTCAACGTTTTATTTAGATTGTTTTCTTTGACTTGACTTTTTTCCTTTTATTTTTTTATTGTGTGTTTGCTGATCTCTCTTGGTCTTGTGTGTGTGCAGTCCTTTGTGTCTGAGCTTGTCTGAGTTTACTTCAGACTTCTTGTTTCGATACTGTTGGCATCTGTCTATATTTAAGTGTCTTACCCCTACATGCAACTGTGAGTGTGTGTGTGAGTGTGTGTGTGTGTGTGTGTGCGTGTGCGCGTGAGAAACCCTGTGCACTGTATATTCTTGGGGTGTGTCCTGCTCACCCTGTCTGTATGGTCCGTCTGCAGCCTAATGGAGGTGGCCAGAGCAAAATGCCGGGCTCCTTCCTGCTGCCCCCGCCACCCCCAGTGGCACGCCCTGTGCCCCTCCCCATGCCCGACTCTAAAATCATCAGCACGCCCACTGACGGCGGACTCAGCTCACCCGCATCTCCGTGTAAGTCACCCCCCCCCACTCCCACTCCCCTCCACAAATCCCAATCACGGCCCCAGTCTCCCAACAGATTTTTAACAGAGGCTAATCCGAACCAAACTTAAATTCCAATAGGTTGGTTAGCGTTTAGATGGCAGCTAATCTGTTTTCTGTTCAAAGCAATTCCTAATCAGGTTTGTTAGCTAGAAGAGAAGTAGCCATCATAGAAGTCCCACTTTTTTATGTGCAGTGCGCCCACACTTTGGTGTTTTTTTGTAACCTTGTTACATCGCAAGAAAAAATCACAGGTCTGGGGCTTCTACAATGACTACTGCTGTTGTTTTCCTTAGTTAGTAGATTTTCTACCTTTAGTTACACTCAGCAGCCCCAGGAGATTCACCCCTATGTTATTCATCACCATATGGACTGTACTGTACTGTACATTACCAGTAAGATCCAATTCTGTCAAGGCATAAGCCACGCCTTTGCCAAACCAGAGATCTCCTTTCATTTTCCTCTTGCGTCTCCTGCTCTGAACTCCAACCTTCTTTTCTCTCTTTAAGTCTTCGCAAACCTCCTCAGCCTCTTCACTGCACCTTTTTCTCTTTCCTCTCTTTTTTCTTTCTCTCTGGTGTTCAGTGTCCTGCAAGCACCACAAGGGGCAGTGTAGTCTCTCTCCCTCCCTTTTTGAAGTGTTTGGTAGTTTGGGGGGAGCAGAGCAGAGCCGGGCCCTGTGCACGTTGCCTCTGTAGCAATCAAGCCTTTGATCAACGCAGACTTTGCATGTCTGTCTGCAACGACGGCAATACAATCTCCCCCTTCTCTCATTTCTTTTTTTGCCTTATTCTTTTCTTTATTGATATATTCACATATCCTCCTTTTCTTTGTTTCTTTTTTTTCCTTTATTTCCTTCTTTCTTCTTTTTAAGGGAACAAAATTAGGGCAGTTGGCGTGGACTCCAAAAAAAACATCATGCCCCACTTTACCCACCCAATCCCCTCGTCACTTTCACACAAATCTCACAACAATTAAAAATTGAGAACAACAAAAAACATGAAAATCACAGTATAACAGGAACAACCCAATCTCTCTAAACATGAATGATAAAAATCTAATCAGAAATGTCTAATTAGTGTGTAACTGGGGGAGCAGGAGAGAGGAGTGTCGTGAGTGAGGCTTAGTCCAAACCCAGACAGGTGCAGTGTGAGAGTCGGGCCACGGGAGAGGCACAACGCGAGGGGGGCACCGGACGGAGCAACGGGGGCACTTTCTCCTCCTTTTTGTTTTGACTTTTTCTCCTCTTCCTGTCCTTTCAACCCTTCCTCCCCTTCCCCCTTCCAACTCTCTCAGATTAACGTGTCACTTTATTATTATTTATTTATATGAACATCTATATAAATAAATAATTATACTATTTTCCGTCTCTTTTCTCATTTCAGTGACTGTTATCACTGTATTTTTTTTTTTTTTTACCTCCTCTAATTTTGTCTCTGATTTTTAAGATATCTTAATTACAGTCATAAAAAAACACACACGCACACACACACACACACACATACACACACACACATGCATATGGTACACTCTCACTCTCACTCATGCATCAGTTTCCAGCCCTGTCACTTTCACCCCCACACATTCCCATGATCCTCCCAACCTCAATCAAATCATGCACAGAAAAAAAAAAAAAGTATTCCTCAGCCGCCATGTTGGAGTCCAGTGAGCACAACTGCCCTAAATTTGATCCTGTGACATCGCAGACTGATGTCACATTGTTTGAGAGATGCTCCTTTTAACCTGTTGAGCATAGATGGAGCATTTGTTACCACTGTGGATTTAAAGACTTCCTTCAATGGTCACCCTATTATTAAGTCCTCGGAGAATCCACAGTGGTTTTCTATGATTACGATGGCTTAAAACTGATGCCAGGGGCTGCTGAGGAGCGTCTGTGACTAACAGTGCAGCCATATTTCGGGGGGGAAGTGGCTTCTCAATGTAAGCGCTTATCCTTACAAGACTCTACATCCCCTTGTTAACCACAGATTTAGGAGTCATGTGAAGGAAAACAACAATGAGCTGCCCACAAAATCAATAAATCATCAATGTGGCTAATAGGGCATCAGTATCCCTGACCCTTACTTTCTTTAACCAGTTACCCATTCGACAGTGATTTGTAATTTTAGCCTTATCAGCTTAGTTGTATTTTAAACCATAGAGATAATGCTAATGAGAGCATTAAACTCTCGTATGAGCTGGGTGTGTATGTGTGTGTGTAAAAGCATGTACACACTTGTCTCTCTCTGTTTATAGCATACTCCACGCCAGGCTCCACAGCTCCCAACCGGTTTGTCGGCATCGGAACACGGGACAACTTTCTGAATATCCCCCAGCAGACTCAGGTACCCCGCCAACCTCCCTCATTTACTTAACATCCAGCCATCCACCTCTCCCCCCTTCCCCCTCCTCCTCCCCCTCCTCCTCCCCCTCCTCTGTTTTTATGTCATCTTCTTGTCCCGCCATCAACCCGCTGTAAGTATGACAGAGCTCTGTTACAGCAGGCATCTTCAGGCTTAAAGGGACGAGCATGTCATTCAGAGTGAAGGCCGTGATACAGAGGCAGTACTTAGACAATGCTCTCAATGCACTGCGTGATTCAGCCCATGGTTCCAGTGTTGATCCACACTTTGAATATTTGGACGCTCTGACGGTTGAAGTGACATCTGTAGTCATTCATAACAGTTATCTGTTTAATTTTGCTGAATCGAGTCGTTTGGCAAAACAATCCGGACTTGCTCTTTAAGAGCTTTTAAACGCATCGCACAGCCTTCATCAGTGAATCTAAATTATATTTGATGGAGATGAACCCTGTCAACACACAGGCTTGGCAGCAAATATATACAGAAGGCGGTTACAAGTACATGTCCATTTAAACCGACTGAACTCCATCCTTAAAACAACACCGTGTGACACGATTAAATAACGCTGGAAAAGTTGGAAAACCTAGCCAGTGGACTTTGTGTTGGGATTGTTTTGATAAACGATTACTAGCTCGGGTATAAACTTTGAGCCCTAATACATTGTTAATCAAGTTAAATCCAGTTTCAAAGCGTCTTATTCTGAAAATCCTTTGTGAAAATGTTGAGCTCTTGTGAATTGAAATTGTTCTTTTCCACACCTCTAACACGGCCGTCTTTGAAATCCTTTTATAAGAAATATAATAACGGAGCAGAGGGAGTAAATATGTCATACGGACAAGAAATTACACATCAATTGTTCGCAACTTGCCCACCTACATTGACAAAAAGTGTTGCCCGTGTATCAAGGCCTTGTGTTTCGGTATTGGTTTACAGTGTCTGTACCGCAGAAGTTTCCCCACAGTGAATGTTAGCAGTGCCAGTTAGTTTCAGCTCCAGCAGTGTTGATTTATCTCTGCTCAGACCCACAGTGTGCATTAGTGCAGCGTGTGAGGCCAGTAGTGAACTACATTGTGGTTTCAGCTTTGGCTGCGCTCCGCCACTGGGCTTCAGTGTCTTGGGCCTCCTCCATCACCAACACAACTTTTCTCATTAGGGGCTAACCGCACCTGCCTGCAGCCAACTCTGCTCTCCTGTCCTCCCCACACATGGAAACAATTTGCATTCCTCCTCAGCACTGCTCTGCTCGGCTGCTCTGCTCCCCACCCCCCCCCCCCCTAACCTTCCCTCCCCTAATGCATCAGCAGCCCGCCCTCCCTCTCTTTCTCTCTCCCTTGCCCATCCTGCTCCCTCTAGTATTTTCGAGCTCCCCACCTGCACCACTCTTCCACAGATGTAGCCCTGGCACTGAGGGATATGCACACGCAGGCACATACACTTTAACTGCCAAAACTCTCGCCCCTAGTTTTCTCTACTATAAAACAAGAGTTTTTACAACAGTTAAAAAAAAAAAAAACCTTTGTACTGCTTTTGCTTATGAGGCATTTTAAAACAATGTCCTCTTTGAACTTTCTGCCGGGTTTACGGCACACACACAGCGAGAACCTGGGCACTGGTTTCAACCATTCCCAGTTAGCTGAGCCTAGTAGGTCAGTAACAACCCTAGCCAGAGTGAGTAACCGAGGTCTCTGCCTGTCCTGCTGTTCTCTGGCATATGGAGAGGTTCAGACGATGGCCTTGCCAGCCCGCCTCACCGCCTGCTAGCCAACTAGCCAAGACAGAGGAGAGTCTTCCCGCTGCTTTCAGGACAGGGCCTGAGAAAAAAAGCTGGTCTGAGGAGCTCTCTGGTGGTGATACTGCAGCTTTGCAGGAAAAGAGAGAGAAAGAGAAGGAGATAGCGGGACGAGTCTGAAAAGTAGGAGGGACGGGGAGAAAACGGAGGGAAAAAAGAGAGAGAGGGAGTTAGTCGAAGCTCACTGCACTCCACAGTCACGTCCCGGCTGTCTGGTTGCCCGCAGCAACCAGACATGATGTCATAGGCAGTTGAACTTGGACTTGAAGGGGGGTTAGAGAGAGGGGGTCACTTTCCACTGCCAAGGATTACTCTGGGAGAACCAGAGCGAGAGAGAGAGAGAGAGAGGAGAAGAGAAGCCAGGAGGAGGAGGAGTTATCTACAAACGCTGAGGGATCATGGGTAGGAAGGAGGGAGGCAGAGTTTGTTGAGGATAGATGGAGGTTGAGGAGGGTTAAAACTCTCTCTTGGCTTGCTAGAATGGGGGAACAACACAGAGTTAGCTGTTATAGGTGGGGTGATTCGCAGTTCTTCCGGGCCAAGGCCTGAGGAATGTCAGCGGCAGCCAGAACAGCCGAGCCTGTGCCAAAGCCTCCACTCTGCCCTCTTATCAAACCCAGAAACTGGATCCCCGGAGTAGCTGCCCTCAATAGCTTTACAGTGTAGCCTGAGACCACTCGGGCCTACAGAGCAGAGACGTATTAGGAGGATCGCTTTACCTGTAAACTGGCAGCACATGACAGAGCGGTTACACTCTTGTTTTTGGTCTCTGGAAAGCTATTCAGGCTGGAACAAAAACCACTGCTCTTACGCTGTTTACATCTCCAAAATTACACCGTAGTTCTGACTTAAAACACCAGCGTCAGCGCTTTTTAAACACAGCAAGTAGTGAAGTTGAGGTAGTGACTTTTTCACACTCGACGGGACAGCAAAGCTCACCGAGTGCTGTGAGTGAGTGATAAAAGGAGGAGGTGGCCACCTAGTGGATGAAGGATTAACTTCACAAGGGGTTCCCAACACCCAGAAAACAAAGTGATGGATACTTTTAAAACCTTATTACTAGACCTTTAGTCTATAGATACAGTATATACAAAGTATCTCATTATTTACAAGAAAAAAAAAAAGGATTTTTGGAACAATTTTTTGCAGCGTTAACGTTTTTGTTTGTTGTCTGATAAATAACTACGGGACCGCTCAGAGATATCTTGTGATCCTTTGTTGGGGTCCTGACCTATAGGTTGGGAACTGCTGATTTACCCACTGTGTGAGATGTTGTTCTGTGTTCATACTTTATATTCTTTATACTCTGTTTTGTACCCCCCTGTCTTACATCCCTGTATTCATACTAATCCTTTGTGTGTGTGCCTGTTTGTAGCTCATGTTGTTTTTCCTCAATGTTTGAGATTTTTGCACTCACTACAAAGTGCTCCTGAGACTGACGAGAATCAAGATTTCTTTCAAATACTCTGTTTAAATCTGCTGATTTTGTTCTAAAAAATGACACTTTCTTCTTTTTTCCACAGTCCTGGTTCCTCTGACAAGGCCTCTCTGAATCAAGAGCTTAAAAATGTGTGATGGAAATTGGAAAATGTAAAAAAAACAAACACACCAACGTTGATTAAGAACAGACTGCTGACACTAAAAGATCTTTCTCTCTCGCCAACACTATTCAAAGTTGTACTACAGAACCCCCCCCCCCCTGCCCCCGAACCCCAAACCACCCCAAGAGGACTCCCAATCCAACAAGATTCTAACAGGAACGTCGGTCCCCCTTTACGCAGGAGGCTTCAATGAGACTGAGTGGACAGATTCAGAATGCAAGGAGGAGGAAGAGGAAGATGAGGAACTGTCTCACACACCACAAAATGTCAGAATGGAAACACAATATGGAAAACTGACAAATGACCAATTACACATTTGTTCTTTTTTTTTAATGATATTTTTTTTTTCATTTTGTCTCCACAATGAAACTCCATGCATTGGCTTAGAGATCCAAAAAAAAAAAAAAAAAAAAAAGTAGTGGTAAGACGGTGAAGGCGGATGTGCAAGTTGAAAGATAGTCACCCAAATAGCACACCTCCATATCTGTGTGTTAATCCGCTCACCTCTCCTCCAGGTGCATATTCCCACCTGATCCCCCACCCCATCTCCACACCACGGTCCAGACGGTAACCACAGCCCCGTACCTGTGTGTCGCCACGCTCTGCCGCTTCACTCACTCAGCCCTGAGCCTTTTTTTTTTTTTTTCTTTTTTTTTTTTCATTTCTGATTGGCCAATCCTGGTGACACCATCAGATGGTGGTCACCCATATGCACTAAGTGGCTGGTCTTTGTTTACCTGTCAAAGAATCAGGGCGTCCTGCTGTGGGAGAAGTGATAGCCATGAGGCGAGTGTAAGCGAGTGAACACACGACAGACAGTCATAACACTAACTCCACATGTGCTCTTTCGTCCCCTCACCTATGCACTATTAATTTTGAATAAGGGATGAACAGTGTTGCACACCGATGGTCAGATGAGCGATCAGAGAAGTGAGTGGAGGCTGGCTGCCACTGCAGGGATGGGGCTGTGCTAACAGTAGAGTCTGGGTCTTAAAACACACACACACACACACACACACACACACACACACACACGCACACGCACAGACACACATGCTTGCTTGCAGCCTGTACATACAGACTTTATCTTTCAGAATAGTCTGTAATACAACCAGCACATAATATCATCCTGTTATTAACAATAGACGCGGGGTTTAATTTACAGTAATGCACACGCAGCATCCGCTTCAAATATTAGCTTTTCAGTTTGTTTGTAGGTGTTTTCTTGACATTTCTTCTTTTTTTTGTGCTGGATTTGGTTTTGGTTTAGTGTCACTTGGATTGTTTTAACCTTCTCTTGCATGTCATAACACTTTTTGCTTCAGTTTTTTTCAGTTGTCTGTCAAGTATCAGGCTTAAAACAGAGTTCACCCAAAGAGTAACAGCAGTTTCTCAAATCTCTCAGTTATGGACAGCACAGTAACAACAGCTCATCACATGCCACCCTTGCATTGCTTTACCCTGTGTCCCTTAGTCCCATCACAGGAAAACCCCAGAGGACGACAAACACACACATACACGCGCACAAACGCACATTAGAAATGCACACTTATACCACCTGACATTCAATGATAAAGGGAAGCCTTTATATTTGGTTCTCCAAAATGCCTTTGTTAATGGTTTTTCATTCACTTAAGATTTTTTTTTTTTTAATTTGAGATTTTTTTTTTTCTATGTAAATGTTCACATTTGAAATTGAGATTGTTTTTTTTCTTTTCATCATGACACAATCCAACAAAAGCCGACCTCACAAAATAACTGGACTGCCTAGCTGTTGGTTCTGTTTTGCAGGGATAGTAAACAGGTCTGAGGCCCTGTTCTCAGCCTCTCTAGTAACATTAGCTCTATGTACTAAAACCATATATCAAGTTTATAACAATATATGAAAGTGCCTCTGTATTCCCTTCATGCAATTAGTAATAAATGACTTCAGGTTCTCTTCCCACATATAAGCTAAAGCTACAGCAAATGGTAGCGTTGGTGCATGTGGAAACCATTGGCCTATGACAGATCTTTATAGAGGACTGCAAACCTTTTTTTTGTAAAGACAGAGAGAGAGAGATCTTATACATATATATTTATGATATATGCTCCTTTTTAACTTTTACTACATGAGCTGGTTGGCAGTCTAGTTATTTTCTGAACTCTCACCTCCCTTTTCACCCCCTCCACAACCCGTTTCAGTAACATCCCCTTACTGTTCCCAGTGAGGATCAAAAACGACACACACCATCGCCGTCTGCAGCACCGCATTTAAAATACCTAGATAAACATGTCAAAAAAATCGACAGTAGGTTTGAAGAAAAAAGTGTTTGTTTTTTGATGGAAAGTATTATTATTGAAAATATGTGTCGATTGAGCCACGTGCAATGCATTGGGTAGATCATTGTGTTTGTCTGTTAGAGATTTTTAAGAAAGCTATGAGAAAAGAGAAAAAAAATGTATTTGTTTCAAGTCTGTAAGCTCCAGGACTCTAAACCAGAGAGCCATGAAAAATCCTAGTCTTTGTAAGTTGGGGGTATTTGTTTTTATTTCCTTTGTCTCTTTTTTAATGTTTTATGTGTAATCAGTTGTTTATAAAAATGTGGGAGGGCTGAAGGATAAAAAAAAAAAAATCTACACAACTTGAGGGAAAAAAGATTCTCTTCTCATCAGATGAAAAGTGGTGCTTTTACACTCTAAAGTACATTCATACTATTGTAAATGAATGGTAATGAACAAAATTAACAGACCATTAAGGAAACAGCATTATTCCTCTCTCTATTTGTATTCTTCTTCTATTTGTATTGAGTGGGGGGAGAGGTTCTTATCCTTAAGGTTGTGACACAAAAGGCATTTCGGTTCAACCTTTAGAAGAAAAAAAGAAGAAAAAAAAAGAACAAACCTATAAGTTAACCCATGCACTGCCTGAAACTCACCAGCAGAAAACCCTCCCAGTTGAACTCATTTGTGTCATAAGTTCCCCCCAGGTTCTGCAAGAGATGCTTCACATGCAGAACTCTTTTCTTCACATCATCACCCTGATTTGTTTCCCAATCAAAATTCAGACGGTTGTGTTGAGACCCACACGCAATGGAAAGAGTATCAGGTTTAAACCTTGTGTCTCCTGCACGTACAACAGAAAAAAGGGGGAATATTTGCTAAAAAAGAAAATTGAACAGAAATCTGAAGTCTGAACCATAGATATGAAACAGGCAGCAAGGTGAGCCTCTCCCCTGTTCCACCCCCTCCTCTGTAAATGACTCTTATAGTGCTTGTGCTGTAGTGTATAGTTTCCCAGCAGTTAAAGGTTGTCCCTTAAAAGTGCCTTTTGTTCACAGACTCCATTTTGTAAACCAGATCGCCCCCCCCCCTTTTTTTCCGAAACGGCTCGAGGCAGCAGGTTGTCCCCGAGTGCCGCATGGAGGCACAAAAAAAAAAAAAAAGCAGTCGTCACTTCAGCGCTGGGGGACAACTCTTTTTTCCTCTGCCTTCGAAATGAAACCTTTCCATTGTACCTCCCCTTTATCCTCTCTTCCTTTTCAAAGCTCTATATATATATACATACATATATATATAGTACAAAAGGAAACTGGTGTGAATTAGTTCTTTACTTTTTATCGATAAATGATGATGAAAAAAAAAAAACATTTTGAAAAGGCAAAAAAACTTGTTCTCGTTCAGCTCTTGCTTTTTTCTTCCCCTCTGTCTCCACTGTCAGTTTTCTCTTAGACACTGGAGTAGTCTGTAACTGTGTGTCCGTCACTCTCTGTCTATCTCTCTCTCTCTCTCTCTCTCTCTCTCTCTCCTGCCCTCTCCGCTGTTGGGAGGGCGATAAAAAAAATTGCCGAAAAAACTTTTTGTCTGAGCAGAATGCAGTTAGCTCACATGTTATTCTTGTCTGTATGCTTCACATTGTATTACCATACCCATCTTCTTCAGCTTTTTCCATTCAACAGCTAATGTAAGTGAACAAATTACGCTGACGGGCTTTTGGGGGTGTCTTTTGGGTGGGTTTGGAAGGGACGACAGGGGTTTGAAAGAGGTTTACTGAGAAGATTAAACGGGGTCCTGAGGGCTGGATGGACTGCTTTGAGATGTTGGAAAGGTGCTGCTTTGACTAGCATAAGAGTTTGCTCTTTTGTTTCAGCTATTTATTTTTGGCTTTGTTTTATTCCCCCCTTTTGTTTCTTTTCAATTAGGATTTCTTTTTGCTATCAGGGTAAGCTGTCGTCGAGTCGCTCTTTGAGGGCACCTTAGACTGTACATGAAAGCTTCAAGCACCTTATAACCGGACTTGTCCTGCACGAGGCTGGAAGAGGGGTTTTTTGCATTTCCAGGACATATCCCACAATCTTTTAAAGTGAAGTATTATTGTTCATGGTGGGTTTCACACAGTGAAAACCCTCAGCAGTATTAGCCATTTACAACACACCAACCAGATAGATTAAAGCCAGCATGAACCTGATCTCTCGCACACGTGAGGATTCAGGAGAGTCCCTCCATGTTACTCCTCTGGCCACCTCATGCTGGACCGCTCCGCGTTCTTGTTCTGTTGTTTGTTTTGTTCTTTATCTTCTTAAACGTGTATGGTTATCGATGTAATAGGCAGCACCCTAGGCCCCCTGACTCCCAGCTCTTGTACGCCCTCAGTGCAGCACCACTTCTTTGTCAGAACACCCCCAGAGCTCTAGGTGAAATGCATGTGTTAATTACAGTTTCTTTTCCATAAGAAGAAAAACACAGTTTGAGAAGAGCAGCACCTGATTGAATAAAAAGGATGTTCTTGACTGTACCATCTCGCTGTGCCTTGTCTTTCTTTTTATGAGCTGGCGACTATGTGAAGGAAACAAGTCCTGTAATAATCACAATGTTTTTTTTTTTCTTAAAGCAGCAAATGTCAATAGATTCAGTATGAACCTGAGTTGAATCCATAGCTGGAGGAGGATGTTACTTTTGTTCCCTTCACTTTTACTGTAGAGCCATCATCAGGTACATCTAAATCTGTTCAGTTCTTCAGCTTATGACCAAAAACAAATGATCTTTACGACTAACACTACATTCCTAGCATCCTCAATTTCACTTCATATTTACTGGTTATTTACAAACATGTGCACGCTAACATGCTAAGCTAAGGTTGTGTACAAGATGAACATTTGCAACTTCTCTACACATGCATCAAATCATCTTTATATCAGGCATATTTTAGCCTGCCTCGGTTTTGTCCTACAGGTCTGCTAGCATTCTGCAGACTCTTTCCTCCATGCTACATGAATGGTATTCTAAAACACAAAGTATTGTAACGTTCATGAAGCAGTAAAGGGGAAAAATCACAACAGTTTGAGGCAGACTGGCGTTCAATTGGTGGAATAATTTGTAAAGTAGTGGGGTAAAAATAAAACAAGCAATGCATTTTACATTTAATTGAAGGCAAATTGAAATAAGAAAGATTACAATCTGAAGTGAAAATGCTTTTTCAATTGAATTATTTCAACCCAAAATATGTCCTCTTCCTGCTGTGTTTATGTGTTTTAAATACATCCCTGCTAGTTTGTAACATGCTGTCTGTTAAAGACGTCTGTACTCCAGAGTTAGAATTAAACTAGTGTTTCTGTTGAAGAAATTATTAAGACTTGACTCCATACCATAAGACTCAGTTGACTCAGATGGCTTACGTTGATGAAAGTTTATACATCAGATGAATACTCGAGGAGACATGATTCAACTTCACACTTCTGTTCTCGTGTCTTGCTCAATCACATCTGCCGAACTCTTCGAAAGGCATCGCATATATCCTAAAAGACATTATCATTATCAGGGTCACATTGACCCACCTAGACTAAACTGTGACGTCTATTACACTGGAGCAGACAATAAGTCTACCAAACATCCTTGCAGATATCAGGAAGAACAGTTGACACTCTCCAAGCTGTACTTGGTGTTTAGAGAACAGTGAATAAACATAATGACATCTGTACATTATAATCTAAATAACTACAGAAATTCCACCACAGTTTCCACAAGTATAAAAGCGTTTCTTGGGGTGATGTTGATCATAAGTTTAACCCTTGGTTGTCTAGCAGTTAACTATTCACTCAAAAGACTGATTTAAGTCAACCTTTGGGTGTGAGTAAAAAAGAGCATGAGGACAAAGTCTCATACACTTTAATGTCTGTCTCCTGGCATTGCATGACATCACTGAACAACGATAGCAGTGATACAGCACTTCACTTTTCTTAAAGCAACCGTAACCATGGGCAACCCTAAAGGCAAAGTGAATCATACAACTTCAACTTTCAACTTTATTTGTCCCTGAAGGGCGATCGATTTCGCAGCAAGGCATCACTGGACAGAAAAAAAGACAAAATACATTTTAAAAGCTAACAGGGTCAAATGTAGGAGGCACTGAACGTAGCAGCATTCGATAAACAACAAGGATCTTTGGCTGAGGATCTTAACAGCTTCCATTAGAATAAAGTGCTGAGTCAACATGAAATATTAAACAGGCCATATCAAACAGTTACTCTTTCATATGTATGCAAGTAAAAAAAAATATAAATGAAGTCAGCCATAAATCAAATAATAAATACCATCTCACCCTGAGAAAAAGAAAGACTATAAAATAAAACTTCACACAAATAATACAGCTCATCTTACACAGGTTATCTAACCTCTTATGTCTCATCAATCAAATGTATCTTTTAAGTAGTAAATTCTGTCAAGAAAATACACTCAACGTGCTTTAACACAGTCTCTTATGATTTATAATTATTTAGATTCAAGGGGATATTTAAACTAGGGTATTTATTAGCTTATATGTTTTATGTAGTTTTTATGGCTTAGACACCAAAATAACTGTGTTTGGTTAAGAGTGTCTTAAAGGAAGAGTTCAAGCTGAAAAGGCTCTTTATCATCAAGAAACAGCAAACAAGCAGGATACCTGAATATACTCTGATGTGCTCACATGACTGCATAATGTGCTAAGTGCTTTAGGGCTTAACTAAGTGCTTTAGGGCGATGGATCCACTCCAGCTTGGTCCGTCTGAACGGCTGCTACATCGTCCTGCTCTGTTGTCTGAAGAAATAAAGAACATTAACTGTCGGTCTCAGGATTCATGCAGCAAGAATAAAGTGAAAGGAAGCATCGTCTACCTGCTCAGGACTGTTATTCTCTTCACCATCAGACTTGTCTTCTTCTTCTCCTTGTGTAGATGTAGACCGGGGTCCACTTGGGGAAGGTGGTGGTGGTGTACCCTGTGAGTTTGGAGGTTTCACAGTAACATGCTTTGGGGACTCGCACACCAACATTACTCAAGGTTGTGGAGGAGACACTTACCTCATTTTGGTCCTCTAAGGAATTATTTGTCTCTTGGACTGGAAGGTTTACAGCAGGATCGAATGGCTGAGCAGCATGGCACGGTAGGGGTCCAGAAGGCTGCTTTCCTCCAGGTGGATGGAGCTCTGGGGCACTTGGGATGGAGGTACTGTGGACAATTTTTTAAAGAGTGATATTATGCCTTGTTCAACTACTCAGACATTTTCTAAATGGCCATATTGGGAAAGTCATAGGGGATGGTGGTGGTGGTGATTACATTGAAAGGTGTTCCGAATAGTTTCCCCTCTTCTTCAGTATAAATGAGGGGAGCAAAAAGACACACGTAATGTAGAACTATTGGATTGGATTGCATTCGATAACACAGGGGGTCATAATGTTATGTCTGGTGGGTGTATACGAAGCTTGAATGGTTTCAAAGATAATTTTTGCTTTTTTTTTATCAACATCATTTTGAGTAACATGTTCAGACTTCAGAGCTAAGATAATAAACACAACCAGGACTGCTGTGTTGCATCTAAGTATCAATACACTTTTCGATGTAAAATACAGACATTTTTTTAAAAACATTTAGGCTAAAAATGTCATTGTAGCACCAGATCCTTTTGACAGAAAATACGGCTGATATAACTATGACCAATGACCACAGAATTACAATTGCATGAAAATAACAGAGGTACAGGTACCATACATTACAGACTTAAACACAATTGTATCCTTTCTGAAATTTAGCATGCTTGTCGTTTCCTCTTCCTTTTTCCATTTCTCGATCCTTAAAAAATAAAACTGCGCAGGACAGAGATGGAGCAGCAGACAGAGATGGAGCAGCAGACAGAGATGGAGCAGCAGACAGAGTGGAGCAGTAGAGGATGAATGAGGATGAATGTCTTCTGACGTGAGTCACGTCAGAAGACTCTGACCCCACCTCCACACAATGAGCCAGCAATATTGCTATCAGGCAATCCTAAAGCACCAATAATTAAATATGTTTTTCTGCTTATACTAGACTACCGTTTTACATTCCCTAACAAAACACTAAATAGCTTCTTAAGTAAAAAAAAAAAAAAAACTTTCATATTAAGTAGCCTACTATTCTTTAATCATATGAAAATCATTGTATTTATAATAACGTAGTATTAGGCTGGATAAAGATTATTCGTGTGTTGATGAGTCATACACAGCCTACTATCCTGACTTACTCCACAGACCGTCTTATGAAGCAGTGAGGTTCAAAGATAAGACCATAAGACCCAGGCCTTTAACCCGGTAACCAGAGACCATAAAAATGACGTTGGGTTGAAAATATTTTTCACTTGCACAGTTAAAGATAAGACAATAGCACGAAATGATGTCAAGGGGACATTTATTGAATTTTTTGTTCTAAAATGTAGTAGGCCTATCTGCCACAAAAATGTTGTTGAAAACTAAAGCACAGTCGAGAAAGACAATGATGTTGGTTTACATTTGAGGCAGGATGGAGCTTATATACAGTCTATGAGCTTAACATTAAATTAAATTAAATGTATTTTAAATAATTAGGAATGAAAAAAATAAAACCCCACAGGGACCTATGATCCTCAAAGCCTTAAAAACCTGTGTGTGTGTGTGTGTGTACACCCTTTTTCTTGTTGTTCTGTTTGATTTTGTTGGTGTTTCATTCTTTGTGCTTCTTCTGTGTAATATTCATGAACGATAAGGAAAGCTTTGAATAAAAAAAAAAAAAGAGTGTGCTTATTAAAAACCTGGTGCCGTGTCTGAAAAGATTAATTACGGGGAACAGTAAGAATTTATTATTTATTTTTACAAGCAGTATAATGTAATTAAATGTCAACAAACAAAATACTGTGGCATTGTAATGGATATTTTGGAATTCAGATTTGTTTAATTAAAAAAGTTAAAAAAAACACAAAAAAAAAACGCTTTATTTTGAAGGAGCCTGTCATAAAGAACCGAGGGCCAACATCCTGATGACGCATTTCCGGCTTGAATTTTTTTGTAAACAGAAGAAGCCAACGTTCAAGCAGACACAAACAACCCGGTTGTTACGGTTGTGACCTGCAGCCCAGCAGTGGTCGTTTATTCGTCAAGCGAGAGACGACCACTGCTCCTTTAAAAAAATATGTTTTTTTTAATGTGTTTTTTTTAAAGATATGTAAACTCTTGACGTCATGACTTCAAACTATCCGCTGACGTCGAGCGACCTCGTTCACACCTGTTAGCTTGTTAGCTTAACTTCAGCTGACAAAAGTGTCCGGTCAACCTCTCTCATCGATGGGGAACTGCCTGTTTTCACAAGGGGCGGATGACCTGTCGCTGCTGAACGAGTCTGAGGGGGGCAGTCTACCCGGAGAGCCCCCCCCTCCTCCTCCTCCTCCCCCCCCGTACCAGGTGAGCTTCTGGGGCTCAGGTAAAATGCACCCCAGGGATCAAGAGCTTTGCACTTTTGTTTTGTTTTTAAAAAGTATTTATTTACTAAATTAAGTGTTCTGTTTTGTGAAAGAGGGGCAGATATTACAAGATTAGTCTTTCTGCTCCTTATCAATCAAAATTTTAGATTTTATGTTTGTTTGTTTTTCTTAACTTTATTGTTTCTTTGAATTAAATAAAATTGACAAATAAATAAATAAATAATAATAAAATAATTTACCACAGAGTCCTTCAATCAGTGAGTATTTTTCCTGCCTGTAAGCACATTGTTAACTCTCAAATTAAATAGAAATAAAAGTGATGTTTTTCAGGATTGGAGTAATTTCCGTCAATTGTGTTGTTACCTTTTAAACACTGAATCTTTCTTAATTGCAACATTCAGTATTACTACTGCATGGGAAAACTACCATTGGCACATGAGCTATGGTTGACTTGTTAGTCACTTTGTGTTGTACGTTCAGAAACATGGAATGAACTGTTATCATCCTGCAGACTTCAAATAATAATCCTCAATTTTCTATAGCTCCCATTCATAAAAAAAAACAAGTTATTTTGAGACACTATAAGAAAGGAGCAGGTCTACACAGTTCTCTTTGTTATATGATTTACGGAGAACCAACATTAATCCACCATAAGCAAAGCTCTTTGCAACATTTCGCAAATACCAGCTGGAAGGATAAACCTCCTAAATAAACAGGCAGAAACGTTGAGCAGAACCAGACTCGTGTTAAACAGCCATCCGCTGCAGAAAGAACACAATTACTGCCACCCAAACTGTGCATTTATATCATCCATAACTACTTGTTTTACGGACTTTATCCTATTTCATAAATCAGGTATTAGTTAGGCTGCAATTGAAACATATCTGACGCCACCTCTAATCCTCTGCCTCGCGTTCCCTCCATCTTGTTTCAGGAGCGCACTCTGTCAGCTCCCGTGTACCATCCCAACCCAGGTGAGAGTCGTCTGGCTTGCCAGCTTACAGAGGAGGAACAGATTCGCATTGCTCAGCGGATCGGTCTTATCCAGCACCTCCCCAGAGGCATCTTCAACCCAGGCTCCGACCCATCCAACAAGAAAGTGAAAGAGTGAGTCTAAACTTACTTTTGTATTCTTTATTTCACATTTGTTCTCTTTGTTGGGAATACGCGTGTTGTTTAGATGACTGACAAGGCTGTCGTCTTAGAATCCAGGTTAACAGGGAGCAGTGGGTCATGCCATCTTCAGTTAATGAGGTTCTCATTGACTAGAATTATTTAGGTTTCATTTGACCTAAAAGTTATCAGAAACGCTCTAAACAAATACACAGCCCTTATCTGAGTGCAACCAAAGGCTTATTAGTAAGTTAGTCAGGAGGGATGTTCATGATAAGCCGACTATTCGGTTAAACAACGTCACTATCACTAGCAGTCAACGTAAGTACTTGTTGGTTAAACTAATTATTAATATTTTTCATGCTGGCCCACAATGCCAAACTGTAACACAGCAACCTGCCACTAGTCGGGGCTGTAGGCATAGACTGTCTGGAGGCCAAGTTGATGGGCCTTCTCCTCTGGCTCTACTGCCTGAATGTGAACAAGCACAGTGAAGGTAGTACAGCACACTGGAGGAGCTGTGCTGCAGCATCCTGAGCAAAACAAAGGGGAGATAAAGTTGTATGTGGGCTGTGTCGGATTCAACTGGCATGCATAATGTTAACCACATTTAGCACAGGCATGTGGACATTAGCCTGTAAGGAGGACAGAAGGCTGTCAGTGCTGACACTGCTAACATTAGCCATACAAACTAATTTGACATGGTTCATCTGCTGGCTTAATCTTAATTAAAGCGTGCTCAATTTTGACCTTTTTTCAGAGTATTTTCATTCAGACTAGTCGGTAAGTCTGAGTTTAAATTTCTGTTTCAAGAAGTTTTTCAAGTGGGAACATCCCTACTTTCCAGTCCCTAAGACATGAAGCATTTTGGAATAAATGAACCGTGTTCCCAATAAGAAAAAGGACAACAGTAAGTGATCATTTTTTTAATGGATTTGTGTTTCTCTCTGCTCAAGGTGTGTGATCTGCATGATGGATTTTGAGTACAGTGATCCCATTCGATTCTTGCCCTGCCTTCACATTTACCACGTGGACTGCATCGATCCCTGGCTGATGCGCTCTTTCACCTGCCCTTCCTGCATGGAGCCAGTGGATGCTGCCCTGCTGTCCTCGTATGAAACCAACTAGCCTCCTGCCTACAAGTAAAACTGTCCTCACCGTTCAAACTGGTAGCCAAAGTGTGTGGTGTTATGCCGATGTTTGGAGGGTCTTGAGGAGGCAGTAAGATGTTGAAATCATTGCCCTTAATGGTGCGTTGGTTAAGTCTGATTTGCACCTCTTTCTGCTTTGTAAACTCTTAGCCTTTTACGATAGGGTAACGTGCCAAATCAAGATCCATGAAGGATATGGAAAGCTATACACGTAGCAAAAATATTACTGCAAAGTAATATCACTTTTCTATGACAGAATGTCTGTTTTTTTTTTTTTTTTAATGGTAATGTCATCAATGAAATTTACTCTCCCCATTCAGACGTAATGTGCAATATGTTAATTCAATGGAGATAATGCAGGAAATGTGTTTTGGTCAGAAAGTCGGTCAAATCATGAAAAAAGGTAACTCGTGAACACATGGCCTTAACTGTCTAAAGCAAGTGTGTCTTGACTGATATGCAATCCTAAAAAAAACACAGAAAACACAACAAGTGATATTAATGAACCCGGTTTCTTTGAGCAAATAGTCCATGATGATCATTTGTCTACAGCATCGTGACATAGAGTGGTGTTTTTTCAATTTTATGGAGATATTTGAAGTTCAATCAATGTGATGAAGTGTGTTCCTTTGAAGCTGCTTTTATTGAGGTGGATCTGTTTTTTTTTTTGTTTTTTGCCTTTCCACAAAATATGAATCCTCTGTTTGAGGTTGCGCTCTCTGTTTTTAAAACCGGTGTGTCCTTTTATTACTGTTTACCGTCAGTGAGATTTTCAAAGACAAATTATGCTGTGCAATCCCTCCGTAAAGCACCTTGGGATAACTCTCCTCTGGCACTCTGTAGCTCGAGGGTTTTTATAGATGAATGTGAATCATGATATTTGTATGTGTGTGATGTTTTTTTTTTTTGTTTTTTTTTGGGAGGGGGTGGGGGTAGTCTTCTTGGGGAGATGGTAGACGATTACAGCATGTTGAGATAACAGAGAGAATGAATCTGTCAGCTGTAACCCATGTTGAAGTTACCTCTCATGCTCCAGTCTGTGCTGATGACTTCTTACAGCGATTGGATCGATTTCCAGAGCTCCTGGATCTGGTCAAACACAACGCTTTTATCTGTTTTTTGGATGTGTATTGATGTTTGAGTCTAAAGAAAGCTTCAGCAGCAGAAAGGCTTGTATCCTGAATGTAGAGCGTTGTTTCAGCTTTTCTAACATTTGTAGAATCAGACATTACTCAGGCTGCTGTGCCTTTTTGAAGGTTGGGGTTAGTCAATTCTTGTGAAGTACAATCATTTCTGATGCTTTTCTTTCAGTGGTCCTCTAGAGGGAGACAGATACCAGCACTGTTCTGATACGTGTCACTATTAAAAATAGGCCAATCAGGATGAGGCCAGATGTGGCTCTCTGGCTGCTGTTAACAGTCACATTCATTAAAAATGTGTTTCCACCTTTGCACCAGTTCTAGGACAAATCATGAAACCACAATAAAAGTGGAAACAAATATTTACACAAGTTCTCCTGTGTTTTATGTTCTTCTCTTCTGGTTTAATCATAATCCAAAATTTGATAAAAAGGCTGTTGTGAAGGTATTCCAGGTAACGACATGTACAAGGTGTGTTCATTTTAATCACGTACAGTATTATAGGAAACACGGAAAATGGACAAATGCTTTTATTTAAAGATCAGTCTTTAGTCTTTACTAGTTTTGATGTGATGTGTTTTTGGAGTTACACATTGGCAGTGTGAGTGGCTGTGATTTAATATGAACTATTGTTCAGACTGTTTTAGAGTCAAAAGAGGTGATAAGTGTCATCTTTAGACTTTACCTTTGTGACTGTACCAACAGTCCAACACTCTTAGACTTTAATTTGACCATAAATGTAAAAGAAAGGCAGGAAGTCGTTACATTTGAGAAGCTGGAACCACAACTGACAAACAAATGTAGTGATTGAAGAAGCTCCAAAACCAACAATTAGTCAAAAAAAAGAAATGACAGTGTAGTCATAAACATCAGATTTGATCATATTTGTCTAATCTACAGAGGCACTGCTTGTCAACAGTGGCCAAAAAAACCTCCCTAAGAGGGCCCCACCTGACAGCACTCGGTCTCATTGTGCTGCTGAGTGCTGAGTGCTCATCATGTAATAAATACAAATTTAAGATATTAGTCCATACTCAAAAATGCAGCAATCATCTAGACCGGGTTAGTCTGATGAAGGAGGGTAAAAAATATGATGTTCTAGAAAATGTGTTCATTATTTGTGCAAATGGAGAGTGGGGGGAGGGCTCTTAACCATTGTTTGACCAGGAAACATGAGTAGACCCCGGGCCAGATGAACAGCAGGGACACGGTTTAGGTGCCAAAACATCAGCGCAAATGTCAACCAGCTGGACGCTGAACATCGGCTGTGTCCTGCCACATTACAAGTAAACAGCCTGCATGAGCAGCGCCAACACTCACACTTCACAAAAGAACAACTTCAATCAAGATCTTCATAAAAAGGTGATTTATTTACAGAACACGACACGAATACTCCAAAGCACACTAGATAACAGTGTAAGATTACAATCATCACAAAGCTTCCGTTCATACACAATATAAAGAGGTTCTCATACAATTAGAAAAATAGACGCACTAATATCTTATTTACAGACTGGAAAATCTTCCAAGATTTCAACCAGGTCTGGGTTTTCAATAGTTTTACAGTACAAAAGCAAATAGTTCATAAAACCTTAACAGAAGCAGGTCAATTCATAGCATTACTTTTTATTATTGTCTCTAAAATGCATAGATTCCCATACTGACTGTGGCCAGAGCCACAAAAAGTCCCAGGACCATGGTGAACAGTGGGCTGGCTTTGATCAAAGTGTTTGAGATCTGCAGCGTGTTCACTGCTGTGGATTTAGTTGAATAATTCTGCTGAGCGTTTTCAGAGATATTCACCATCTTCTGCAAATCATCAAAGACCTGTAGACAAACAAGCAGAACATCAGTCAGAAAAGCCAGACGACAGGTTTATTATTAGACGTGTATCCGCCCTGAAAGTGCCGTCAATCTGTTGAAGTTTCAGCATCATCATACCTGAATATTAAGCTCAAAAGCTCTGACCGCCTCCTCTAGCACACCGTTCCTCTCCTCCTCCGTCAGCGCCACACTGTTCATCCTGCTGCGGTACAGCTGTTTGAAGAGGTTGGGGCTGGACACACCGGGGAAGGCGAAGAATGACAGGCCGTCGCTGCTCTTCAGCCCCAGAGACTTCTGGGCGATGCGACCAAGGACCTGCCCTCCAGAGAGGTCACCGAGGTACCGGGTGTAAGCATGGGCAATCAGAAACTCAGGGTTTTCTCTACCAAGCTGAAGAAAAGAAGCATGCAGAGTGTTATTCCAGTACCAAACAGCAAGAGAAAACTGTGTGTGTAAAACATGTATGACACATATCAACATACCTGTCTGATTCTGTGGCAGTATCTTTTAGTGGCTGCAGGGACAACTATTTTCTCTCTCCAGTTTTGGCCGTAGAAAAACTCCAGGTCTTTGGCAAGGGTCTTCAGTCTGGCCAGTTCGGCGGGGAAGTAAATGGGTGCAACCCCGGGGTGGTTTGAGTTCCTGTCCATTTCTTCCTCCAAGGCCTGGTAGACCTCGTACAGCGAGCACAAGAGGACCTGAAGAGGAGAAGAGGCGGTTAGGAGCCAATATCCAAACCATACTACTATAAAGGTATGAGAGATTGGAAAATCAAATGTCTTTGTTACCTTGAACTGTGGCAGGGTGACCTTTCCTCTCTGAAAGCTCAGCATCAGCTCTGTGTTTTCTGCCCTCTCGTGACAGTCCTTTGTCACCTGTTTGATTTGCTCTGACAGATCCCTGCAAAAAGAAAACATCATTATAAAAACATTGCCAACTAAAACAGGTGCTTTTAAACAAGAGCATAGGGTAAAAAAAATACATATATGGACACATAAGAACAGTAGGCTTCATAGTTTAGAAAACATGTTAAATAAATACCATGTGTGATATACTGAACCTTTAGATGTTTATCTTATTGGGCCACTGATAAAACTAAGTTAGCACATTTTGTACTAGAAACCTCCTTTGGGATGCTGATACAGATATGATCTTTACAACTCTAATTACAACTTTGTAAGTGAAGTTTTTTTCTATGAAATTTGAGCATGAATATTTGATTTTTTGTAAATATTTTTGGGGCATTTTACATGTATTAGATAAGACAGCTGAAGAGAGATAAATGACATAATGGCATGCATCAAATGGTTCCTGACCTGGAGTCAAACCAGCAATCAGCATGTCTAAGACTGTAGCCCCTGCACATGGGGCGCCTGCTTTACCAACTGAGCTTAACAAGTGCCCCGGTGTGTGAGCCTTCAATGGAGAACTGCGCTTGCTGTTGAAATGTGGGTGCGTTTGAAAGAAGGATTTGGAAATAACAATAAATCACAGTGTCTCATTCTCACCTGTCCGTCATCTGCACTGCTGATATCTTCTTCTCTGACTCCATTGTAACACTAGAAAACATTTAGAAAAAATGAGATTTTTTTAAAGTAAAAAAAAATAATCCATCTTCAAAAACATGACAACTAACAGACTTTTAGAATTTAGGACTAATGTAAGGAAGTGGTGTTACCATTTAAAGTTTAAATAAACATGATAAAGTTTTACTCACCAGTAAGGAAAAGGATCTTGCAGGTTTGTTAGTTTGGTTTTTATCCTCAGTGATTCCCTGTTCCGCTCTGGATGTGCAGTAGAGTTTATCTGTCTGCCAGCAGTCTTGTGCTCCTTTTATACAGGCCTCCTCTGTCTCCTCCCCTCCAGCAGAAGAGAAACAGGAACCTAACGTGACCTCAGATAAACATGATATGGCAACTTCACGTGGGCCTGAGAGTTATCATGATTCAGCGACTTTGAGAGAAGTTTGACTGAAGTAGGGAGGAGGCAACGGGACTTCCTCGAAGTTTTAACAATGCCCTGGCGGAGGCAGAAGGAGGAGGGCCGATTGCTAAACATGACAAGGCAGCTTTGAAATTCTAGAGTAAAGCCAGACGAGAGGAGGAGTCATGACTGTGGGAGTTTGTGAAGCCTGTGGGGGGGGGGGGGGCGGTGGAAGTGTTTGAACAGTGACGAACGGTTCAGAAAAACAACCACATGATTGTGAAACGAGAATACACCAGCATATTTGAGTTCATCAGACACATAAACAAGTTTAACCAAGTTGCCGGACTGATAAGTCTGAATACATTTCCATGAGAAGTCAAGGTTTCAGCAGAACCAGAGGAAATCAGAGCAAAAATTACAAACTTTGAGATAAGTATAACTTTGTCAGATCAGGTGTCAGGTTGAGATCGTTTAGTCTGACTGCTTATAATTTATTGCCAGAGAACAAAACCTGGAAAGGAGATCAGACTAAAGGCAGAAGTGCCAGTACCTGATCCCCTGGACTAAACTCACTGCATTCTCCACGCTGGTTGTAGAGACTTTTCATCTTCCTCTGAGCTGCCAGCAGATTTTCTTTGACATTATATTAGCCCTGTAGCTGTTTTCCAAATTTGGGGACAGCCTGCCCCTGACATCTTCTTGATTTGCACACGTATCTCTCACAGCGGGAAGTTTTTCTGGAGGCATGAAAAAGATGCCACAGAAATCCAAGTCTGCAGACAGTGACAGTCAGGGAAGGAACACTGAGGGCACGCTCACACAGGCAATCTGTACCGTGTACTCGGTCGTGCGTTTCTTTTATTTTTTTTAATTTATGTATGGCTGTAACTGATTAAAATGACTCATAATAAGACACAAAGTCAGTAAAGTAGTTGTCATGTTCTCTGTACTGTTCTCCGAGGTGCAGACGTGGATTCGACCGCTGAGGAACACTGAGGACACAGAGAACTTAAGAATGTAACAAAACACACCATAGAGAGACACGAGGATAAGAAATGACAAAATAAAACAGGAAACACTGAAGACTAACGTAGGAAACCATCAACACTGGGAAACATTAACACACAAGGGAAACAAGCAACACTAGGATAGCCAATAACAAATAAGACAGAAAACAACAAACTAAGCAACACTTGGGAAGAATGAGAAATGAAAGGAAAGCTAAACTCTGAAATACACAAAAACCAAACCGAACAAGACTAAATCATGACAGACTTGAACTCTCAAAATTGCCAACAAAGACACACTCCCATGACCAAAGTCGTTTTCCCATATACACTCCTGAAGATTTCTAGAGACTTTTCAGGAAGACTCCTGCTGAAATCCTCCAACGAGTTGTTCACACATGCACCTCACAGTGGGAGGCAAGAACATTTGCCTTTATATCAATGCTATGTCGACCGCAGGGAATAAACATCAACCCCCCCCCCCTTTCATTTACTCAAGGTTAATTCTTTGATTATATCTTGATGTGTTCTCACATCAGCTCAATTGGACTATCTGTGGAGAAAATACTCAGAGGCTGGAGTTTTTCAGGAGTTTTGTGCAAGTGTGAAAGCACTACAAGTCACCTTTCAACAGATCTGAGTTCAGTGTCATTTCATGCTGTTGAGCAGAAAAGACAGTCACACCTATCCCACCTATGTCCACATAACTAGTGTCTCAGAAGAGAACAGTACAGAGTCCAGAATAAATGATCTAATCCTGAATGTCTTAACTTCTTTAATCGACATTTACTTGCTCTTAACCAGTGAACCGTCTCCATCACACTCAAATGCCACATAGCCAGGGTCAATCTCTTCCTTAGCTGAGTAGATCTTGCTCGACAACAGGAACCCTGATCACTGACACTCTGTTGAACACGGGGTTTTTTTTGTGTGTGTGTGTCAGGCGTTACTCAAAGACAAAGCAGCCTCAGCAGGTGCTGCTGGGAAATACCCTGACTTTGACTTTTTCTTTAACCCTAGGCACTCACTTTGACCCTGACAAAAACACAAGTTACAGGCATCATTGAGCTTTAGCTTTACGTTGCAAAGTCTGAACCACAGTCACCTTTAACTGAAATAAAGTTCTGATCCCCTCTGATCACCACTTACTGGAGGTTACCCCAGCATTTCTCTCTATGCAACCACCATATTTAGAATCAGAATAAGACATTTTTTTTTTTCCCCCCTGAGAAGAAATTAGGTCAATTAGGTCTAGTTATTTTGTATTTCACAAGAAGAACTTACTCCTTTAGATCCTCCAAGGACTTTATCTGGGAAGCAGCACGCCCGGCAGTTGAAACGTGTCGCTAGAATTGCGAGTAAATTCAGTGTAGGACTGTTCCTTTCTTTCTGAGAAACATGAACCGTCGCTGATATGCCACTGGTACTTCCTCGTATGCTCTGAGCACAGCAGCTTTAACCAACTGATAGCTACCACTATCACCAACGCTTGAGACTAGGAAAGCCTCCTGGGCCTTGCCACTGAGCCCATCAGACATCAGACTGATTTTTTGCATCAGCCAAACATCCAAAAACACACAGAAAATGTAGCAGTCCCTGGAGAGTTTTCACCCCTCTGCATTCATTAGCTAACTTGAGTTATGAGTGATTTTGCAACGTCAGGTTGTTATATATTAAAAATCCACATAAAGCTGAAATTAGGATGTATTTATATAAATGAGGCTGTTCAGTAGAAAGTTATTTAAGTCTAAAGCAATTAGGCAGGAGAAACTGGCTAAACACTGATGCACTAAATAGCTTAATTTTATTCAAATATGATGTATAATTTTTTTAATTGGGCCATTTTGTTTGCAATATAGAAAACTTTTACTTTGAATTATTTATGCTAATATGATGAAACAATAATATACTTGTTTTCTCAGTTTGAAGACTTGACTTTTTCCTTGTTACATAATACTTCTAGTCTACAGTACATTGCTGTGCCTGGCCAACAACCTGAAAGAGTTCTACTGTCGCCTTGAAACACGACAGGACAGCAAAGAAACTATACCCCATGATGACTCTACTCCCCAACCCACCGCCCCCACCACAGCAGGGGCTCAGGATCCTCAATGACTGTCCACCCCAACAGATTCTGTCTCTCCCACCACCTTGAAGCACTGTAATGATCAGCTGTCTCCAGTCTTTACAGACTTTTTAAACACCTCATTGGAGACATGCTACGTGCCAGCCTGCTGCAAAGGCCTCCACCGAGGACTTCAGACCTTCCGCCCTGACCGCTGTGGTGATGAAGGTGAAGGACGCTGTCAACCTGGCCCTCCACTTAATCCTTAAGCATCCGGACTCAGCAGGAACCTACGTCAGTACGTCACCAAACAACAATGCCTGATCTGCTACAGGACAAGCTCTCCCAGCTGAACATCTGACTCCGCCTGCAGGAGGACCACAGACTTCCTGTCTGACAGGAGACAGCAGGTGAAGATGGGGAAACATGTCTCGGACAGCAGGACCATCAGCACTGGCTCCCCTCAAGGCTGAACTTTGAACCCTAACCCCTATCACCATCAGGGACTCCACTTTGTCCACTGTGCAGTCTTTCCACTTCCTGGGGACCATCATCACCCAGGACCTCTCATCAAGAAATGACAGCAGAGGATGAACCTGTCAGAGAGCATGATGGTGCACGTCTACACTGCCCCTCTGGTAAGAGGCTGTGGTCTATAAAGGACCAAAACTTCATGGCACAAGAAAAGAAAAAGACTTATGAATAAATTGCCCCCGACTGCCCTCCAAACACAGATTATCATCCAGCCACACGGTCAGAGAACATAATGTGAGGGCTAAAAAAAGATTATATAAATGTAACACACACTGGATTTAGTATTTACTGTTTACACTGTAAGGAGATTTATTCTGGAAGATACTTTCACTGTTAGCAATGCACTTGTACCTCCACGACTGCACAGTTCCTGCATTGCACCATTGGTACATTTTTTACCCAATGAAGTTTATAAAGTTGATCTACATTTTTTTATTTTTGCATATTCTATCATATAATTTTAAATTGCTCAATATATTTTATCTTATTCTATTTCAGGTGTCAGCAGGTGCACTGCTTTCTTCTTATTTTTTGGATTAGTCTTTTGCTAATTGAATACACCAAGTTAAATTCCGTGTATGAGTAAATGTATAGGCTGCTTGGCAATACAAACCGAGTCTGTTAACCTGAGTTCTTGTGCCACTGTTTCAAACTGGTGAGAATAAAGTGAAATGTCTTGTGAGTTGAACAGTAAAAAAAGCCCATGGTAAATAATCTGCTGAGACAGCTGAACCGTGGCATGACATAATAGTTTCTTTCTTGGTCATCCATTAAATCAGTCGACTCTCACTCAGGTCTAACATACAGTCTATGGTCTAACATGACTCAGCAGAGTGACTCGAGCAGCGCTAAACGTGAGTAAGCAGCTTTTCCTTGACACAGTTCACACCCGTGGAGCGACACAGAGGTGACTCAATAAGTTCAGACGAGCTTTTAACACACATGTCGGTAGCTAAACGTTAACTTGTTGTTCGGGTACACCGGGCACACCGGGCACACCGAGCTGTGAATTAAAGTCAGCTTTTAACCTGAGCGCGTTTACCTCAGTTCACCGACAGATTTGGCTTCAACTTGTTAATCCTGTCTTCAGTGCCCTGCCTTTTTCTTTGTTGTTGACTTAAACAGGCCAAACAGTGGGAAAGCCTTAGGCTATATTTGATCAAAGCCTATTCAATATTAACTTTACTTTGTATTTTTTATACCGCTGAAGCCTGACTGACTGCCAGGTAAATAAGTAGGCCTAGGTTAATCGATCATGTATTCTCTGTGTTTGCAAACCCTCACACACCTGTTTCAGCAATAGTTGACTTTTAATTTGCAGTAGGCTATATACCCCCTTTTGTCTGACATAAATATTAACAAAACATTCAAATAGAGCCTGATATGATTTTTCAATGACTCATCCCCAACACAGGCTGTAACTCAATTAAATCTGGAGTAGGCCTATCACTTCGCAGTAATTCTCCCTACAGCTTTGTTCACTTTGTTTTTATGTTGCAGCATCTGAATCTTTGTGTCTAGAATAATGCTGAGGCAGGAACTGTGAGTGGATGCAGCTAGAGGGAGAAGAGAAGGTCCTATACAAAGATTTCATGATGGATGTGGAGGAGCTGGAGGAACCAGATGATGTTCAGGCATGTAAAACCAAAACACTTACCATGTTGGGCTCTGGGCCTGCACTGGTAAGCCAAGCAGGGTTTTCTGACACAATTTCCACAACTACAAATGTGCATTGAGAGTGTAAAAGGCTTGAAGAGAGAGGTCTAAAAGCTCCAGCAACACTTGGTAGTTTTGAGATTTAATTTATTTAGACTGGTCATCCTGACCCTGATGAAGGCCACAAGCCGAAACGCGTCGAGTTGATCTCCATACTAAAGTGTCGCTGGAGCTTTCTGAACTCTTCCTGCACTGGTCGTAAGAGAGGTGTTCACTTCTACATTTTTAAGAAGATCTTTTATCTGCATCTGAGGTGTGAGATAAAGTCTGTGTCATGTTCATTCTGACATGGTCACTTGGTATACACTGTATATTGGTATCTATATTGTGCTATGTTTTGCTGCAGTGTCAGGTGTTTCTGCATATATATGGACTTTGAACTGTTCAGGTTTTATCGCTCACCGTGTCAGCTATTTCCACTTTATGGAAGTATGTGTGTTTTGAAAATGAATAGGTTCATGCAGTTTAGTACACACTGTATTAAACTCAGTATATGTATTACAGTGAATGTATACTGTCAATTATTAACTGGGAGATAACACTGAAACTAGGGCTGCATGATAACAACTACCTAAGGCCTAAAAATATAAACAAATGCGTTCCAAAAAATTTCACCCATGCCCATGAGGACAATAACTAAACAGATTTTTTGTAGCAGGCTGCAAACATGTAAATTTATACAGTAAAATTTGGATTTTCTTTTTTTATGTGAAGTGTACGTGACTTTTGGGGCTCTTGCAACAAGCCCTAAACGGACCCTTAACGAACTGCAGGATTTTGCACAGGATGGAAAGTACGGGAGACCAAGGGGAGCGGCAGAGGAAGAGAAAATCTAGATTTTTATTTTTTTAAATTGTTCTAAACCACAAATACGATTAATTCATGAAATGAATTTATTGCTTATACTACTAAAATGAAATTAGAAGCATTTTTCATTTATTACTCACACTTACAGTTGTGTGTTTATATATAAATTATATTTTTTTTTTCCAACATTCATCACCAAACTCATACTAGTGATGCTGTTTTTGATGTGATTAGACTGAATTCTTAGTCCCAGTTGTAATTTCTTATTATTCACTTTCTTTTCAGGAGCCCAAAGGCTTGCTCAGTGAGAAAAGGCGGCACTCTGGTAAAGTGTTTTTAACGTTAATGTACAGTATAGGATATACACTGGATCTCATAAATTTAACATGGCTATAATGCAGAATATATCAGTCACAAATATTTACTAATGTAAGGTTCATAAAAGGGAAGCAGGCCAGGGTTGACCATGTATTGTTTATTAAGAAGTGAAACATTTCAGGTGGAGATGAGGTTCGACTTCGTAGAGCTGAGTCCTCTGGCCTCCTGCCTTCCTCCCCTCTCTGTGTGTCACAGGACGGTTGGGGATTAAGAAGTGGAGGAGAGGTGAGAGAACGGATGATAACACGGGGTTAATGTTGTGAAGTTTGATTGTTGTGTTAAGATTGTAAAACCCTGCTGCTTTTTCCAGGATATGCAAGACAAGCTGTTGTACTTGTGTTGCACAGCAGAGGGCAGCATTGATCAGGTAACTAGCCTATGTTTTTTTTTTTTTTTTTTACATAATTCTTTCCCATATGTATTTATCCTACGTGTTTGTGATTTTCAACCTTTCTCTATCCCAGGCAATTCAAAGCTCCTTGGAGTACTGGGTATGCCCAGATAACCAGCACAATGTGGCCGACTGTCCCCTTACCCCCCCAACCAGCCTTCCTGCAACTCCAGTAACCCACATGCCTTGTCCAGTCGTGCCTGTACTGGGATCTGCAGTGAAGCCCATGATACCAAGCCCGATGACTGGTACCTGTAGTCCCATAACGTCCATGTGCAGTCCCACTGGTTCAGCCTGGGACTCTCTCAGATCCACAACCTGGAGTCCTGGAAGCTCTGACCATGATCCTGTCAGTGCTGCGGCTCACCTGCATCTGTTGGGGGAATCCTTGTCCCTTATTGGACAGCATCTTCAGGAGACAACTGTGAGTGGATTCAGTGCAGGGGAAATGAAGTGACTCATAACTAGGTTTAATGTTTATTGAATACTGGTCTGGCTGCTTTCTTTAGCTCTGTTTAAACCTGTTGACCAATTGTGATCTTAAGGCTGCCCCCTTGTGGTACCAAGGGGAACTTTTTTCATCAGGAGAAAACTGAGGCAGAAAAATATTCATAGATATTTGAAATGTGCTTGTTCATGTTTTAGGCACTTAATTAAACAAGTAAGAAGTGTACTGTGGATCTGTGTCTACATTTGCGTTACATATTTTGTATGGCAATGAAGAAAGTGAATCTAATGAAAGCTTTTTGTCTTACCAAAATTTAAAAAGTGAAAAACCTTACCTGGACAGTATTGACACAAACATGTGTCTCTGGTCTGTCTTTGACTGATGCACCCCTCTGTCCAAAGACTAAACACCCACAGGATCAAAGTCAAGTCCTTTTAAGACTCAGGGGAACAAAACAAGAATTCGATGCACTACACGATGATAATCGCTCTTTGTTGTGCATCTGCAGAAAACCGTGAGTTTGCCGAGTGGCTTGTCCCTGCTCCTGGACTCTCTGCTGTGTGCCCTGGTTCCTCTGATCTCCCTCACCTCACAAATACCAGAGCTGAGGAGCTGCACGCAGCACACACTGGTGAGAGAGGCTTACCAGTCATTACATAAGAGACTGCATTGTTCCGACAGGAAGTTGTGTGTTAACAACTTGTTTTATTCTTCTTCTAAGGCCCCCACTCTGGAAAACATTAACTATTTGATGCCCGGGCTGTGAGTGATGACATTGAACACACGAGCGGGTTTCTGAACGATACCAAATGTTAGTTTACATTAAAAGAAGAAAGTATGAGATCTCTTTTGTTCTCATGTTTAATTGCACTTTAAAAATAATTTAAGTTGGATCACAAAGATTGAAGTTAAGTTAAGTTGGTCAGGCTTTGTTGTTTGATTGTTCAGTTTAAAAGAAGAAGAGAAGAGGCCCTGATAGGACATCAAAGACACTTATATCTAGTCTCTGACATGAGCTTGTGTTTAAACTCCGATATGAATTGGGAGGGGTAAAAGAACTGCATAGGCTTTTAATAATGTAGCCGTGTGTTTGACGGCATATAGCCTACAGTCATAGAAACCACTTATCAATGTCTGTGAATACTCGTTTAAATGCATGCATGCAAGTTTGATGACATCAGCATGAACCAGGATTCATGTGTGAGTGTGTGATGGTTTGCACTCTGTTAATAAGATATAAGTTTACATGGCCCATGCTCTTGTGTCACACTTACTATACACTTAGAAAATGACCTACAAACTAACCACAGGTTTGCACTTAAGTCATCACTCACTATTGTTATGTAAAGATAATTACATAATATACGGTCTATTATGTATCTGTAATTGTTCTACAGTCATTTAAATCAACAGTTTTCTGTTTTTTATAGAGAGCACAAGTAGTAAGTCACCTGCTCTAAATGATCGAGGCTTGATGTTTCAGAAACTATGTGAGCTGAAACTCAAGTACGATCATCCATATGACCCACAACACAAGCAGACTGCTGCTCCACTTTGAATATTTACACTGAGAACTTATCGTGATCTATCTGTAACGTGCCATCTGGCCTGATTGAGGACGACAACGGCAGCGTAAGAAAATATTTACATGAAGCCAGTTATGAACCCTTAACGAGTATAAACCCTGACAGACGGCTCATTAGAGTGTCATACATGAGTTTTGACACTTCAAGGGTGTGGTGGATAAAAACTTCAGGTAGAATGATTCACATCTTGCCCTGGGTCACACCTCCTCCGCCCCATCTAGGAATGCTAAGCAGCAGCCTGCAGACAACAAAACTCGTTGTGCGTGCTAAAACATATCTAAGAGTGTGTTCATGATGTGCTGCATGTCCTGAACATTTGGGAGTGGTGAGACAGGTAGCTCTGTGAGACTCCAATCCTGTCCTGCGTAGGCAGATTTGAATATTGACGACTGGGTGTTGACATGTCATGAAGTTGTCCGGGTGAGAGACAGAATTCAGTGCCAACGGAGCACACAGAGACGACGATACATAAACAAGGCTCGAAGGAAATCCAACATTTGAGTAAGTATGGTCTAATTTTAAATCTTACAAACGTATATATGGTGTTTACGGTGATAGGTACCTGAATAATCAGGTTGGTATGATTGAAACAGCTAGACATAGATAATTATTGATAAAGTGTACTGGTCATTTTTCTAATTTGTTGTAAGGATGTTCATGTTATATACACCTCAGTGTTTATTACCAGCCACATCTCGCTCTGAGTAAAAGATTATTGTGTGAAGTCGCCTTAAACAACAGGTGACTGTCAGCTCGTTTCATACTTGACTTAAATTGTTGTGTAATTTATACGTTTGAGTTTCACTTTAGTGATGAAGTTGTGCTCTTTTGTGTGTTAACATACTCTGTCGTCAGCATTAAGTGCTTTGTGTCCATGTACAGTATTTTCATTTTGAGGTGGATTTGTTTGACGCATGTATGCATGTTAGTCCAAATACAAAAGTCCAGGTAGAATGTCGTTGGGCAGGACTGACAAGGTGTGGCGTTTCAGGAACAATGTGAAAAGGGGGATGCAGTGAGGAAACAAGGAAATCAAACAAAAGCTTTGTGCCTGCAGGAGCACAGCTGTCATCGGTCGTACTCAACATTAAGTCGATACTGGAATAAAACAAGGAGATTCATGGAAACTAAACAAAATACTTATTATTGAACTGTTGTATACAAACCATAAGAGACGCTGTTTGCTTTCAGTTTGTCGGTGTAACTTCCTGCTCAGCTGAACCTTTAATATTTGGTATTCACTTCCATCCCATCTTTCCCTCTTTCCAGCTATGAGTGAAAACCTGAGCGGGAGCTACTACGGCTCCTCGCCCCCAGAGCTGAGACTGGTTCTTTTAGGAAACATCGGATGTGGAAAGACGTCATCAGCAGACACCATCCTGGACCAGCTGTCTCCCATCTCTCCCAGTGCCTCCAGGGCCTGCCAGCTGAGGCAGGGCGCGTCCGAGGGCCGGAGTGTGACCCTGGTGGAGGCGCCGAGATGGTACTGGTCAGGAGGCAAGATGGAGGACAGTGTCAGGGAGGAGACGGAGCGAGGGATGACACTGGTAGCACCTGGTGCACATGCTATTCTGCTGCTGGTGCCTGTTAGCCAGTTCACAGAGGTTGGTGTCAGCGTCTGCTGCAGTCATCGTTGGCATCTTATTGGTTTTTCACAGTAAAAGAAATGATGTTAAATCACCTCCTGTGTGTTACATAATACAGTATTCATTCATGTCTTTTTACAGCACAATAAAACAATATAGGTTTTAATATTTTTTTATAATTATAACTGCTCCTTTCCCAGATGGAGGGTCGTGTGCCTGCAGAGCTGCAGGAGTTGTTTGGGACGGATGCTCTGGATCACACCCTGGTCCTGCTGACCTGTGGGGACTACTTGATGGGAAGATCAACAGAGGTATATAGAATGTAATAGTCAGTCTCTGTGTTGTCCTGTGAGACACGTTTGAATTATTCCTAATCACAGTATTTGTGATATCTTGTGCTCACTTTGATGCCATGCACTCTTGGAAAAGCTTGAGTATGCACCCTTTTGAAAAGTTTAAAAGTCTTTAAAATGTATCAAAGCTTTTATCATTTTGATTCTTTTTTTTTGTTCTGCTTGTTCCTTGCACTGCTCTCTTTCTGTCAGCCAGCAATCTGCCTAATTTACACCCTAATATTTAACATGTTGGCTTGTTTAAGAACATCCTAATACATCAGTTAAAGTGGTTCTGAACTCAAAGGATTATTGTTTGTATACTACTTAATGTATGAAGTATTTAAAGTGAACTAAAAACAACTCTCTTCTAGACATCATTTGGTTAATCCTACTTTCCACGGTGTCCAAAAAGCTGCTGTTTGTAGAACAGGGAAATGGCAAAGCATTACAACTCTCCATTTTTTGTTATGCTCAGGAATATTTGCAGAAAGAACACCCAGGCCTGAGGCAGATCATCGAGAGCTGCGGGGGGAGGTACCATGTGATCAATAATCGTAATCCACGGGACAGACGGCAGGTCTGTGAGCTGCTGGAGAAGGTGAGACATTGATGCATTAAAGTGTTTTACCGTTACACTGAAAACCTTGAAATAAGGTACAGTTTTTAGAGAAACAAAAAGTGCGAGTGCTTGAGCTCTATGTTTGACTTGTTTTGACTGAGGAGGCTGCTCAGCATGCATGTTGTTGTCTCTCCCTGCAACGCCCTGTTTCACAATCATATAATTACACACAGGCAGATGTAATGTGGATCACTTTGAATATGAATGATTTAGCTTTTTACATCATAATCTTTACTGTCAGGATGAAAACAATCCATTCCACCACCACGACTGAGTGACATGTTAGTATGGCTTGTATTCTAATGAAGTTTTCTGTTACTCTTTTTATGACACAGGTTGAAAATATGGTGCAGAAAAACGGGGTTTATCGCTTGAAGTCGGTCGAGGAGAGAGAGCTGGAGAAACGGGTGAACGACAGAAAGAGAGAACTTATGGAGAGTTACAGAGCTCAGAAGGAGAAGAGACTGACCGACGCGGAAACCACTTTGTCAAACAGAGACACAACGAGGTCTTTTGACAGAGCAGAGGAGAACAGCACCTTTTTGGAAAGGAGGAGAAGAGAAGAGGAGGTGGACGCGAGAGTGAATGTGAGGCAAGTGTCCAACGGGCTTCATTCAGCTCCGACACCACAGTCAGACTCAGAGCCACAGAGTGAGAGGGAGCTGAGGAGGAGGCCCAGTTTCAAACTCAATTCAGGTATTTTTTTTTCAACCTCGCACCTTCTCTGAAAACCATTTAAATTAATCTAAGCAGAAAGTGAACTGTATTGTATTGACTGTCTTTCCCCTGTAGATGGTGCCATACTCTCACAATTGTCCGAAGGTAACACATCTCCAAAAGTTGTCACTACTTGTAAGTCATATTATTTAACTGTCTTCTTATCTGTTGCTTTAAACTGTCTCCTCTTTTAACTTTAAGACGTCAAACTTTAATTTCTCCTGATTGTTTCCAGTGCACCACAGAATCAACAGCGCTGAAGAGTGGTCCCCCGAGGTATCTCCGACCTCCGCTCCTCATTCTCCTCAGCTCGTCTTCACCTCTACCCCCTCCTCGCCCACCTTCACTTCCTCCTCCTCACCTTCCTCCTCTTCTCCTGAGCTACGTCTGGTGCTGCTCGGGCGATCTGGAGCAGGCAAGAGTGCAGCTGGAAACAGCATACTCGGGCGTGAGGAGTTTGAGTCCCGGCCCGAGAGCCTCACAGCGATCACTCAGGAGTGTCAGAAAAAGAGAGCTGTGGTTGAAGGAAGACGGGTGAGATATTTAAATGTTGCTCGAGTGCATGATGTCATTTTTCTTTGCAGTTGCCCAAATCCACTCATTTCATATTCTTGACATGTCTTACATTATGCTTTAAAAAATACCATCTGGCTAAACTGCTGCATGTGTCTCCTCTCTCCCCTGCAGTTGGCCGTGGTCGACACCCCAGACTGGTTCAATTCAGAGCGAACTCCAAATGAGGTGCGAGCACAGATCTCGTCCTGTGTTACTTTGTCCAGTCCCGGTCCTCACGCCTTCCTTATGTGCGTTCCTTTAGACCAGCCTGCAAAGACTGAGCTGCAGGCTCTCAATGCCCTTGAGTCTGTGTTTGGCCCTGAGGTGGTCGAGAGACACACTCTGGTCCTCTTCACTCATGCAGACCGACTGAGGGCGAGCGGGAAGCTGGGATATGACGACGTTGAAGCATACATTGCCGGTCAGCGAAGGGATCTGGTAAAGCTGGTGGAGAAATGCGGGGACAGATTTCATGTGATGGAATCCGAAGGGGGTTGGAGGGTGAGCAAGAATGTGGCGGAGCTGCTGGAGAAGGTGGAGCAGGCGGTGAGTGAAGCTGGGGGACAGTGTTACTCTTGTCCAGCTTTTCAGGAGGCTGAGAACAAAGTGTGGCAGAGACAAGTGGAGATAGCGAGGGAGAAAAGGGGGGGTAGACAAGAGGAAGAAACGGGGGAAAATGTTAGTCAGCTCAGCTCTGACAGGCGGGCGCCTTATTCCTATATGCAGCCTGTGGTCGAGGCAGATGAGGAAGTGAGAGAGGATGAGATTGAGAAAACGAGGGATGAGGCGGAGAGGAGTGTAAGCACCATGAACATCGAGAGCCTTCCTCCTGTGACGCTTTCCAACATATCACCATCACTCCTCAGTTCTGTTATGGAGAAATTGAGGTCCAGTGCACACACTTTACCCAAGCTGATGTCAGATAGCTCTGTGTGGGTCGGTGAGGGAGCGAAGAAGGTGAAAAGCAGTCCAGTGTGGGGGAAAGTAGGCAGCGGAGCACAAAGCGTCCAAAAGATGGTAGCTGACAGTTCTGTGTGGGGAAAGGTCGGAGCCAGTGCCGGACATGTGTCCAAACTAGTGGGAGATAGAGTTCCCAAGGTAGTGGTGGACAGTTCTGCATGGGTGGGCTCCGGAGCAAAGGCAGCAGCAGCCAGCCCGATGTGGGGAAAAGTTGGTTCTGGGACCAAACTAGTGGCCGACAGCTCCATGCGTGTCGGAGCTGGGCTCGGTGCCAGGGCAAAGAATTTGGCCAAGAGTCCCATATGGGGAAAAGTAGGATCTGGTGCCAAAACTGGTGCTAAACTGATGGCTGACGGCTCGGTGAGAGTCGGATCTGGAATCAGTGTCGGTGCAAAGAGGGTGGCACAGAGTCCAGTGTGGGGGCAGGTGGGCTCTGGGGCCAAAGCGGGAGTCAAAATGGTGGCTGACAGCTCAGCGTGGGAGAAAATTGCGAACACTGCTAAACAGGTGCCCAAGGTAGTCATAGCGGGGGCTTTGCTTGGTCTGGTTCTCGGTGTGCTTTTAGGCGGGGTGCTTGGCGGAGCTATCGGTGCAGCGGCAGGATCTGCTGCAACCGAGGTGGGCAGGCGAAAATTCAGCAAGAAAGATCCACTTGAAAATGCGGCTGGAGCAGCGAAAAATTTGGAGAGAACAGTGAACGACAGCGTGGACTCTCTGGTCAGACAAGGAGGGAAAGTGCTAAAAACTGAATAACCCTCCTGATTGTTCATAAAACATGGAAAAAATGCAAAAAGGTTTTATTTTGTTTTGAATTGAATCATCAGAATGTATACTTCCGATGATGATCTTTAAAACAGACACTTTTCAATCCTCACACAAATGCTAGTTAAGGGTTAATTTGCCTCAGGATTATTACCAACTTCAAATATCTGCATAAATCGACTTCCAGCAGACTGACAGAAGCGACTTTTAGCCACATGTTTTTATGCTTTTCTTGAATATTGTTTGCAAAACGCTTCAAACGCTGTCAGACAATCGTAGTTCATAATATTAATTTTGTAAAATGTTTAACTTCACATGATAATTTCCTGATCAACACCAAGTTTGTTTAGAGTTAAGAAAATAATGCAATTGTATAAAGCCTGAATTTAACTGTGATGTTTGTCAGTGTTTCATTAAAAGAAAAAGAATCCTAAGAAGTGTCGCGTCTTTACCTGTGTTATGTGTCCGTCTCCACATATCTTTAAACAGTGCAAATCTACGAAGAAGTCTCAACATTACACCTATACTGGAAAGGTTTTAATGATGATCCAATATTTTTTTTAACTATTTAACTCTGACAACATGCTTCAACCTCTTTACTAAAAAAAGATAACTCTTCATGATTTATTCTTTCATTGTGTATTCAGCAGGAGAAATACACGATACACGTTTTTATCATTTATAGCTATGAACTCACTTGAGATTTCATCCTAAACAATCAGCACCAATAAAAACATACAGTTCATCAGTACAAGCAATGCACACACTCGTAATGGCCACATTCAGTGTATTGAAGTTCAATTTCCACAGCCAAGTTTTCTGACTACATTTCAGATGTTGCTCTCCCTCCTGTGCTCGTTGTGAAAAATCCCTGATATTGGAACATGTTTTGCCTGATTGTATTTTGAACTAAATTTGAACTGCTGGTATACCTGAGTGCATGTGGGAGTGACTCTGAGGGGCACTTCAGAGGGGGAGATGACATTATCTTTAAGTCCCAGGCTGGCCAGCAACCCCCCCCCATGGCCTCCATGGCCAGACACCTCAAGCAATATTAGGAGGTTTCACTTTCCTGACCTGGATTGTGCATGCTAACAAGATGCTGTGTTCTCTGTTTTCTGGTGGTGGTTGGTTGGGATAATGGGACGCCCCCTCTCCCACATAAGTCAGTTTAGGTGAAGTCAAGGCAGTATCAAACAAGCTAGGTAGCTTATTTGACACGGTGTATGCCGAAAGGTAATACATGTTTGTTTGCAAGTTAGACAGTGTGCAGGAGTTTGCCTTTAAGTTTTTGAGGGTCACATTGCTCTAATACGCACCAGTCTTATGAAATGGATGTGTGTAGGTTTTTTCTATTTTTAAATATCAAACAAGCTGACATGACTTTCTGATATCAGGTATCCATCTTACTGTTCTTGCTCTGCACCAAACAAAAGAAAGACCAAAATAATGGTGGAACAATTCGTCCGAAGAGCCTATAAAAAAGAGTTTAAAGAGTGTGGATATTAGATATATCTGGTGAGGCAGCTTGTGTAAGAGCAGGATCCTGAACTCACCTTTATGGAATGTAGACTTTTAAATCACACTTGTGTTTTCTTGCTTTGACATGTCCGCTGAAATTATTTATTTATTGGTTTCTCCTTTGATGCATCAGACTTTGACAGCAGCAAGAATATCTCATCTACGAATAATTTACCATTTAACAACCTCCTACAACACCTAGTAAATAAGTAAGTAAAGTAAATCACCTGAGCTGATGCGAATAACTGGAAAAAGTGTTTGACGATACAGTATTCTGCTGTAGCCCTTTAATATGTGTGACTCTTCCTCTGTGCTGTAATCCTCTCAGTGGTTTAATAGGGAAGCAGAGAGGGGACAGAAAAGTCTGGCACAGCAGAGCGGACACAGGCAGCCCGAGCAGAGTTGTGAAAGCTCTTCTTCTTGTGGTGTGGTCCTGTAACCGGGTGCGCCAAAGGTTCCCAGAGCATCCTCGTGGCCTTACTCTTTTTTTCTGTTTCCCCCCTGTCCCTTTTCATTCGTGCAGCAGATGCCACCCCACACATGCAAACACCCATCATACACACACACACACACACACACACATACACCTCCACCCACCCCTCCTTTTTGCAGGAAACCCGTTAGCCGTCAATGAGAAAGCTCTAACCATACGTGTTTCCTGGACACCCAATAGAGCCTCGCACACAGCCAGGGGGGCAACAGCAGCACCAGCACACAGCTGCAACATTCCCCCCCCCAAACATCTCACTTATATGGCCCCCCACCCACCATACTGAACCCCATCTCTAACCGCTTCCCACATCCACCCTGACCTTCCTCACAACCGCACATCTACAACTGTTACTGTTACATAACTCTTTTTTTTTTTACCACATCCACTCACATATACACATATGGTATGGACTGACACAAGAAGCCCAGTTTGGTTTGCTTGTGGTTTACACTATATCGCCGTTTTGGGCCGCTTTTTTTACGGTGGCCCTGAGAGCTCATCTGATGTTTACAAAACCCCAATACCGAAAAAGCTGCAACTGTTGTGGAACAAAACAGAAACTGTTTCTAGGAGACACTAAAGAAACACGTGTTATTATCATAGTTTGTGACTAATAACGTGGTTGTTCCAACACCAAAGTGTTTTTTTTGAAACTGAGTAAAAATGTAAATGTTTTGGTGGAAAAAAAATCCTGTGTTCAAGCTTGTCAGGATTTTTTTGGTGTCCCTTGGAAACAGTTTTACACGGTGTCACTGCAGCTTTTTGAAATGCTTCACAAATAAAAAGGGGCAGCATGTGAAATGTTTTTTGTTTGTTTGTTTTTCATACATTTTTTTAAGTTGCCTTGAGTTAAGCTCTCAGGACCTTCATAACATTTTGAAAGACAATATTGTAATTTTGACAATATTGAATGTACCCGGTGTTATTGTTACTTCTTTGAAGGTCTATAAATACAAAGTAACGGCACCTTTACCGGAAAATATTGATGCTAACACAAATATGCATGATAATTAAGATCTAGGTATACAATTTATGTCTTTCTAATATGCACAATGACTACTTTCTATACTTATGAACGTTTATACTTTTGGGAAACACAAGATGTTTTTTAAAGTTTGGTATCATGAAAAGTTCTGAGATCTATTTCTTCCACCGCAGAAAACAAATCAGATGTACAAAACTCCTTAGAAAACCTGCAGCTCAGTAAAACCATGAAGTCACATTTTCTTTGTATTTGTTCCAGGGCTAGAGTTGTCACAGTAAAGGCAGCCAAAAGTTTGCATGATGTTACATCACAATTTATTTGTGCTCAAAGTTCAGCATGACATATCAAACCTCGATTCTGGTTAGCAGCATATAGAAACAAACTAACTCAGAAGTCAGTTTTTTTGATCTTTGAGTAATTCAAATATTTCAGTAGCTTTTCTTAATCCATCAACAATCTGATATTTTTGGGGGATTATTGTGTGCTGAGATTCTTCTGAACAATATGAGGGGTCACGAATGTTCCCTAAACATTTGGCAAACTTAGCAAAACATTTGGAATATGTTGAGAAATCATGCTGACACAGAGCAGCGTTTAGAGAGCAAGAAGAGGATGTCAAATAAGGAACAGCAAACTTAAACACACTTCATTTCTGTCCGTTGCGTGTGTGTCACAATGTCAGGGCGGGACCACCGGCACTGCTTCTCTGACCATCAGAAAAAAGCTCAAGCTTGCATACATGTAAAATGCATTTCCATCATTTCTCTGCTGGCAAGATAGTTTTTGTCACTTTATGTCACTTCACTCAGACAAAGCAGACTTTTCATTATTATGTGCATTTTGAAAGCTGCATTTTGAGTAAAAAAAATCTTAAAATCCAGATGCTTACGAGTCTGCAGAAGGAGGGGTGGTTACTTTTTAAATTGTTCACACATTAAAAACAACATTTCTGACATAAATCCAGCATGAGACAATCTTATTAGATTTCTAAAAACTTGTTTTGTTTTCTTTGTAATGGATCCATATGACCTTTCTCAGATATTAAAAGTACGTTTTAAATTGTGCACGGTTCAGTATTTTCCTGAAACACAAAGCCACACCAACGATGTCTGCAAACACCAGAAAGCTGAAACGGCCAAATATTGCTAAAACTCCCTCTCTCAATCATTCACACTAAAAGGGAATTAGTCTTCAAACACTGTGTGGCTGAAAAGAGAATCACCGGCTGTTCAGTCAATGACTGTGGAGGACAGTGTGACATGAAATCCTCCAGCGACAGCACACCTCTCTGTCTGCTGTCTTTAGGTGTCACCGCTCATCATGCGCCGATGCCACCATCGTTCTCTGACCTTTTACTTTTCCCAGAATGCCATTGGTCACCAAAGAGGTCTTTACCCTGCAGCTTTCCTCACTGTCCGTGTCACCATAGCAACTGGATGTAGCTGGGGAGTTAGCCAGAGCGATGACTGAGTCTGTTGAGTCTCTGTCTCTGTGCACGGTCGCCAAGGCGGGGTGGTCGGAGGATGGCGGCTGAGGGGGAGTGTGGCACTTGAAGAGGGGGTTCTGTTTGCTCCTGTCCGACCCTGCTGTCCTGCTTTCATCCTCCTCCTCCTCCTCTTCGTCCTCCTCCTCGGCTGAGTCCCGTCTCTTGTCCTGGGCCTGATCATTGAGCAGAGTGACCAAGAAGTTGATGTACTTGACAGCCAGACGCAGGATTTCATTCTTGCTGAGCTTTTTGTCATGTGGGTGCGTCGGAATGAGTTTCCTCAGCTCGGAGAAAGCTCCGTTTACATTCTGCTGCCGCCATCGCTCGCGGCTGTTGGTGAAGACACGGCGAGCAAGTTTCTGAGGTGGACCTGGAAGAGACACATTAACAGTTAATGTCATGGTGTCAGGGCCTTAAGGTGCATGCGAGGAACTTTTGGTTTGCATCGGTTTTGGTACCTGCCGTGCACAAAGCTGGACAAATTATCACTTCCCTGATCTTGTTCTGTACATGTGTAAATATTAACCAAAAAATCTCTCCAATGCAACCCACACAATGACTCAGTCATTGAAGGCAGTTTCAGCAGTGTGCTGTTAATCAACCATGTGAAACCTACCCCTGTAACAGGCTTACAAAATAACTATATAAGAAATAATCTTCTCTCTGATGGTCTGGTCAGCTTTTGTAGCTTATGAAGAGGCGTCAGTATACATTTCAGTCTGTTTTATTAACAGTTAAAAACTCCTGACAGGAGCTTAAAAAAAAGGAAGTATGATCGTCTAATTATAAATAAATCCCATTCAAATCCCTAAATGCACAATGGGCATACTAGCATACAACTTAGTAACCCAGGAGATGACGCAAGATAAAGTTTCTTCCTCAGTGCCTCAGCTTTCCTAAATCAATTTAAGAGATGCTAATGGACCACA